CTTTGTAGAGTGTCAAGATCATGTTGGTATTTTTCTTCTGCAGAAGTCATTGAAAAAAAAATTGGAAAAACCTTCATTGAAGGAATTTCCTATTAACATATTGAAAACTCGCGCCTGCAAGAGTTTTGCAGATAAGGACGCTTGATAATGAAGAAACCGAATGACTAGTTATGACATTTTAAGGACGCAAATATAATAGACCTGCGGAGTGTTGATCAGTTTACCGATGTTTCAAAGTATTCAACGAACTGGTTCACCTATTCGAACGTACATCCTATCGACATGCAGAAGCTATCTTGTTACGGGGATGATATGGAATCATCTTACTTTTCAATTATTTACAATGGCGATGCATAGACAATAATAATGACCCCGGTAAGAATTTACTTCCAACATTTAACATTGTTGCCGTTAGCTCTCAGTTCAATTTGTATATGAGTTACCTTCAATTGAAAATTGTTATATATACTGAAATTTGTCCTGGACACTACTAATTTTGATGTCTCATTTGTTTTTCTCATTGGTTTGGGAGAATATTTTCAGGAAATTATCTTTGATGTATTTTTCTAATAAGTAAATTTCAGTTTCAAATGGAAATTATTATTTTTCGAAATGTTCCTAGCGGTTTACGAGGATGATATTTTCAGGAGAGTATCCAATGAAAGAAGTCTTTTGATGAGCGAAATAACAGGAAGAAACAAGGAATTAGTTTACTGAAAAATGTATTTCAGTCTTTTAATTTTTTGGGGGTAATGTTCCCATCGATTAGGGGAGATAGCTTTGTGATTATCGTAGTTATGCTCGTATTGATGTACCTCCTTCACTATCATATCCGAAATCATAAACCCATTGAAACTTATATGTCTAGGTAAGGTCCTCAAACTAGATTTCAACGCTTGATATAAATGTTGAAAATATTGCGTATGTGGTTCCGAAGTCCATACCGTAATGATTTCCATACAGTACTTAAATAATTGTCTTCCTGCCTTACTCAGTTTTCCAAACCCGAAAGTTTTGATCAGCGCCACAGGAAACACAACATATTATATAAAAAAGTTGAATAAACTTCAGTTGCTGCTGTTTTCTTGTCTATCTAATGAAAAAATCAACGAACTGGAATCAATTACAATAAACTTTGGGTAACATCGAAACTATTGCCATTGTATCCAAGATTTATTAGCACAAGCAATGAAATAAAATCTGTTTGATTTTCATTCAAAGGCAAATTTACCTACCACCGGAAGACTTTCTTTGTCAACTGCAGACTGCTTGTATTTATATTGGAAACGGTCACCAGACCAGTCCCGATATTTTTTGATTTAAAACTGAACAACAGTTTGGTACAAGAGAAATCGCAGATGGAAAATCTTTCCAGAATAATATGAATTCATAGAAATCACTTTTCATGCGATATTTTTATCAGAACAAAAAGTGTAATTATTATTTCCATTATATTTTATTATCTTTCTATTGGAGGAAATGTCTCGCATCGAATCGAGTTAGTTTCCAAACTCTCGCCTTTATTTTCTATATCCCCAGGTAAAAGAAATAAGTGATTTTTTATCGAATTATTTCTGGACAGCGGCAGCGATGAAATATGAGGATACCATCTTTTTTTATTACAGGCTTTTATTAAACTTTTCCGTTTTAATGCCCTATCATCGTTTTCCTTCGTTACTATATTTTTCCCGGAAGTTTCTCTTCGATATCGTGGTATTAGCAATTTACTTCGGCGTCTTAAATAAATTGACACGAACTACAACTTACCGTATATTACAGTAGTCGATTAGTAAGTTCAATAGCAAGTTTGAAGAAAATAAAATAGGATTCACCTGGGAAGTTTTTAGCACCTTGGGATGTAAATAAAATGCCAAACATAAAGCTAATGGTTGAAAATTCATTATCCATGATAAATACAATTTTTACTCTAAAAATTTTACACAAGACGCGTTTAGAAGAAAATTTGTGGCGTGAAAATTATATAATTATTATGGATGGCGTTATTAATTCAGTTAATTAGTTTAGTGATTCAATAATTTTCCTGAGGAGAGGTTGGTTGTGTAACAGGATCAATTTTTTCTCAAAACAACAATTGTTTTCTTGTCGACGTTTTGAATTTAATTGAATTCTTCTTCAGGGCTCGAAAGGTAGTTTCTTCGTGTTGATAATATTACTATTTTGAAAATCATCAGACATATTCGATACATATTAAAAAAAATAAAAAACATTGTAACAACCAGGTTGGGCGAAGCTTCTGTTCACTAAGGACAGGAAGAATCTGGCCAATACTGGTAGAAATTTACATATACCCATTCTCTCAATATCTATTCCTCTCTTGAGAGAAAGTGTAGGTAATACTGTAATGTACAAAGTTCATAATTATGTTCATGAACACGCCTTTTGTTTAGTGAAACATGTGTAGCGGTTTTGTAAACTGTTCAGTGAAAATCTCACAATAAAATGTTACAATTGGCAAGTCAGGCTTTATCCAAGCTGTAGAAAAGAAAACAGCATTCAGGGGTTGTGAAGGCAAACACTTCTCAGTTTTTTTGTCGGGATCAATACATATTTTACCTAAAAAAATCATCGATTTGAAATTTGGTGGAATGAAGGCTCCGTCAAAGTAAATATTCAAATTATCCACATCACTTGAAAAACGTGATTTTATTACGTATGTAATAGGTACAAAGAGACATAAATGGTCAAACTTGTTTCAAGATAACGTTTGTTTGCCTCATCATTCCCACGTCAAATATTTAAATGAAAACCCTCATGTTAAACGGTATTCAAAAATATTTATCAACAGTACAGAATTTGGGAGTATTATTGTCAATTTGTGTTGATATATTTAGCTACAACTCTCTCATCAGGAAAACAGAGATACTCAAATGCTTTGTAAAATGTCAAGATCATGTTGGTATTTTTCTTCTGCAGTAGGTAGTCATTGAAAAAATACTTTGAAAAACACTATTTTCCCAATCCTTGCTAATCATTGAAAGAATATCCTATTAACATATTGAAAACTCGCGCCTGCAAGAGTTTTGGCAGATATATTCGGTTCGGTTGCCGTTTGGATCAATCTCCAAATAGTCCATCTTAAATCTCATTTATATTTATGCTACTTTTTGTAATTCCTCAAATCGAATAAATAAGTAATGTTTTTATTCCAAACATATTTTGAACTCAGCTATATAATCTTTGACTGAAATCAACCAATTCAAATACCATCAACTCTAATCAATCTTCATAGAACTAATTATATTCTAATAATGCTCAGTCTCAGACACATCAGGGATATCTTTTTTTTTTAATGGATTATTTCAATATTTTTATTATATACTTTAAGCCGTCAATCAAAAATAGTGACGATATCACACTACTTGAAAATTGTCCGGCGATAAAACCTGTCTGATATAATTCAACGCTCTTCGTGGTATTAGCCATGGGAGTAGTTGTTTTCTGATAAGTGTCAGTCAGTGTAGGAAGTTGAGACATGCCTGAACGAATTGTTCCTTTCTTTTCTTGCAGGAAACTTCAGCGAAGAATCTAGCAATGACACCTGTCGGATATAATCTAACGCCCGTCGTGGTATTAGCCAGGGGAGTAGTTCTTTTCTAATGGGTGTCAGTACATTAACCTACAGTGTAGGGAGTTGAGACTGGCCTGAACAAATTGTTCTGTTGGATGATTTGAGATATAAAATTTATTTTTGTAACAATATTTACGCCGTCAATCAAAAATATTGACTATATCATACTTCTTGAAAAATGTCCGGCGAAAATTTATTATTTCAATTCGAATAAGTGGTGCAAAAACAGAAATACATCATTCCAGGAATAACGTACAACGCCTCTTTATTATGTGAGTGATGAAGATAAGATCATTCAACCGTTAGACAAATTCATATTTCGCCCCAGTTATTTTTTTTAAATTCTGTTTACGTTCGAATTGATAAATGGTAAACACTGTTCTCGTAAGTATGAGAAATTGTACAACTTGTACTTCTACCGAGAATGCGTAATGTAATTTTAATGCGTAGGTACTATTCCAAAATCAAAGGACGCCGGAAATTCTTTTTTATTATAAACAATTACATTTGGAACGGTCCTAGTTATTTGTTTCTTTTATGTCACAACATGTAATATATCATCTGCTCGCCATGTAATCTACATTGTTTATTATTTTAACGAAGTTTCCGGGTTTTGAGAGAATACAGAATGCTTTTAAGACGTTTGTTAATTCTCTTTAATTACATAATTCTAATGCGGAACCTGAAACTGAAAATTATTGTAGAATACGCTCTAGGTTGTTACACATGAGAAATTACGAAGGAGGAATTTCTTGAAATTGGAACGAGAAATAGGAATGGAAGTCAAGGGCCAATGAGTTCGAAAGTTTGAAATATTATTCGGCTATTATCTGTAATGAATCGTTAGTTAAATGGTTCATAATATACGACTCTTTATCATTGGTAACGCACTTTAACTATAAAAAATACTGAATACTTAGAGTGGTTTAATAGTTTAGAAATCCATTCTTTTTTGTTTTAATCCAATAACTGACCACACTGTACAATTAAACTTAACTTTGTTTCGCTACTACACTAACAATACAACACAATAACTTTAATTGATCACATATTAGATCACATCGTATCGCATTTCCAGCTAGACTTCTTCGATATGCATGTGGGTAGTGTTTATATATGGTAATGGAAGTTTCTGGAGGCCGATCGCGAAGCGCAAGTCGAGTTGAGGGCGACCTTGGCGAAGTCACAATCGATTGACGAAGATCAGCGGCGGCCTGCGTTACTTTTTCAGGGGATGATTTAAAACAGAAACTAATTCATTCAAGATACGAATGAAATAGTTTCTGTTTTTTTATATAGTTAGTAACCTTTTAATTTTAGTCTTTTTAATTGATGGTTAATCTATCTGTAACCCGACTTATTCTTTATGATGTGAAATAATTTATTATTATAAAATTTAAATTTTTTTCAGGTACCTCAATGATAGATCATCTCTAACTTGGTCGGAATCTGAGGCTTCTTGTATGTGACTCTACCATGATCGACGTTTTCCTGCGATGAAGATAATATGACTCTGAAGGCAGCTCAGGATGATGTCATACAGAATGACGAAAGACTGATGGATTTGGCATTGCCAGCGGATCCATTTTCCGGTGGTCGGAATCCTAAAATGGACAACCCGCGTTCATTTTTTTGTGATGGCGGCGTCATCGAAGACCGAATACGAAGATCTGTTACGGGTATTCATCGAGGACTTCGAGACTCTCATCTGTGCAAAGTCGCTGGTGAGAGTCTTTCCTATGGCCATAGACTTTGTAGTAAAACGCGCTTGGACGCTTGTTGCTCGGACAACCTCAGTGGGTTGAAAAACTGTGTTGTCCGTTACAAAAATGTTATCTGTGATTGTTTATATTGTGAAAAAGACTGCAGTCAAACTCTTAGTTATTTTTTAATACTAATAGTAAGTTTATTGAAAATATTTATGTGCCTATTTAAAAGTCAACGGTCAATTGTGAAGAGAGACTCTCATTCGAGTTATGTATTGCTTGCTACTTCAGTATTGCTACTCTCGTTTACAACAGTTAATGGATTCGCTAATGAATTTGAAAAAACCGAACAATTTCTGGACAAAATTAATTTGGAGAAAAGCATCGCAGCTGTGTTCAACAAAGTAGCTTATGGTAGTACTACCAAGCGATCAATACCCGATAGTGTCTATCCTATTACAACATTGTCCACTCCTTTATTAACAACATACCGTTATTCCAATGGAAATGATGAATGGCTCAGGGTAGATTTGAAAAATGCGGACTTGAATCATGATATTGATCATTCTAACGTTGATTTTGAGCAGCCCGGTTTCGAGAATGAAAACCGAAGGGACTTGGATAATGGTTACGGTATAGACCTTGAGAAAGATCATGTTTTGCCCACGTCAGCTCCAGCCGCTGATATTTTGAAAAATAATAATAACAAAAACTACAATAATCCTAATAGATATAATAACGACAGGCTTAGGCCTGACTTTGCTCCTAATAGTGACGATGAACAGGTTACTGATAATATCTACAGAACTACAACGACTTACAATCTTCTCAAAAATGTAAGACCAACAAAATCCATGTACAATAAAGAACCACCCAGTTACGTTCCTCCAAGTCGAGCATTTTTCACTCCTCCTCTGCCACCAGAGTACCAAAATCCATTTTTAGATAAGCCGACCTTAAGGGGTACCAATTCTGAGGGTTTCGTTAATCGTAGGCCCATTCCTCCTCCTAGTCTTATGCCTAACAAGGACCGAATACCTTTCAGACCAGATTTGCCTAAAGTTAACATTGAAAGAATACCTGATAGGCCTAATGACAATGATGAAGACGACCAATACCGGCCGCCAATCCCGAACCATTCTTCTCAAGAAACCAAAAATGAAAAGAAAAAGTCACTGAATACTCCTTCGCAAAACGCTAGAGCTGGCGAGTTTCATGGCGGAAGCAGAAACGTAAACGAGAGTAATTTTGAATATGAAAAAAGTTATGTTCCATCGATTACTCGTATTTTAAGCGGCTCTAACGGGAGACACGATGACATTCCCGACATTTTATTACGGACTGTTACGGCTACTCCAAATGTACAACGCTACGAGCCAAAAATTCCAAAAATAAGAACTCCTTCAGCTGAGCCTGGCCTCAAAATGCAGGAACCTGAATTTATGGAGCCTACTAAAGCTACTGTGGATAACTCAAAAAATGATGAAACTACTCATAAAAAGGATGTCATTCAGGAATCTGATCCGCCAGATCGGTCGGAAAGTGTTACTATAAAGAAAGACAACTCTGTACCAGAGAAGAAGAATATTCCCGAATATGTTACCACTCAGATATCTGATGTCATAAATTTGCCCAACGTCAAAGAAAAAGATATCAATCGAGAAATGAATGTCACTTTAGCCAAATCTGACGAAATTTGGTTGATATGTTGGAATGTCCATGTATATTTAGTTGTTTTTGGTTACATTTTATTGGCAATGTTTTCCATTTATAAACTCATTCGATATGAGAATGATCCACACATGTTTTCTAAGAGCTATTTTCTAACCATCCACCTTATGCTCACAGTTATTTGCGTTTTGCGCATTTTCTATCTTATATATGATCCCTACAATTTATACAATTCGTTCAATGTATTCCTGTATGATTTTCTCCACAACTTCCCGTTGAGTTTACTCGCAACAACTTTTGCTGTTCTTATTCTGTTTCTTCTGAAGAGAACTCTGACTCACTTGGAAGTAAAAACTCGTCCAGTGTTCTTAGTTGTATTCGCATTGGCACATATTATGCTTTGCTTCTGTCTTAGCATTGTGGAATCCCTAGGTCATCTTGATAAAGCTGGTTTAACTATTTGTAAACCTGTATTTGTACTGTTGGCTTGGGCTTTAGGTTTCAGCTACTTGTACCTCTATCGAATCATCAAAAATGTTCTTGCCAAAAAAAGTCAGAACTTATCAGAAATGTGCACACAAAATATATCCTATGCTAGTCATATAACTATTGCTGTAGCTTTACTTTTTGTCTTACTAGGTTTAGTACAAGTATATGCACTATTTTTCATCAAAGTCGATCGTTTCAATAAAGAAATCAAACATCACTGGATACTGTGGGGTTTTGAGTTGTCTGTTAGGTTCATAGAAATATCTATAATCACTTTGCTGGCTATCGTGGTTAGTCTCAGACTGTCGCAAAGAGAAAAGCAGTCTGCAGGTGGGTTTCCCTTATTCCCGTGTACGACAAGTGACTCAAGTACCGATAATATATATCCAAATAACTGTAATACAAATCCCAACGCCTTAAATTACAGCCGCCAAGAAATGATAATGGACAATATCCCAACAGAGACTGTTGAAAGGCCAAACCTTTTGAAAAACGCCTTCCAAAATGATTCATTTGATAAGAAGTCAACGTTGGAGAGATATCAAAGTGACAGCGAGAGAGGCAGCAACTTTGACAGATTCGAAAGACCCAAATGGGGCTCTGAAAGGTTCGATTCACGTCAGAACATTGACGGATCAAGCTTGAATAACTTCATGCAGCCCAACTCGGGTAATTTCGAAAGAGGCGGTCATAACTCTGTTCAGAATTCTTTGAGAAATGAAAGGTCATCTAACAGAAAACCTTACGATTCTGCCAAATATTATGCCAAGCCTAAATATGATATGGAGTATAACAATGAAGATTATCAGCAGGACATGTTTTCAAATAATTCTGAAAGGAATATCTATAGCGAACCTGTTGACAATCCGGCCTCTCATCAATATGAAAGAACCAGACATGAGTTTGAACGTTCAGACTTTGACAGGAGGTCTAGGAACAGCTCAAATACTTCAGGACGCCGATCTACTGGTAGAACAAGAAAAAATCATCCGAGACCACATCTAGGAGTGCAGACGTTACCTAATCATGATCGACATCAAATTCCTGAAACTATGCTAGTTGATGAACAAGGTTTTGTTCGTTTTAGGCATATGCAGGAGGAGGTGGATAAACCTAAAAAAATCAAACGTCAAGTTAGTGATCAAAATCACTATAGTGATGCGTAACTTTACGTTAGGGCTAAGGAGAAACACACAGACGATGAAGTATTTTTGTAAGATACTTGGTAGAGTACAGGATATTTTTGATTGAAGGAATTAGTTTTCTGCTTGGATTTGTTAAATAAGATTCTCAAAGCCTGCAGAAAAGAGCTAATAGATATTTATTTATTTTTTATAAACTGACCTGTACTTATAATTCCAACTAGTTCCATCGGTATTTAGAGAAAATATCATTTCCTGTGGGTTTCTTTCTTAGCTCGTTGATATTCGTATTACAAGTCAAAATTTGAAGATTTTGGCCTAAGATTCAAAGCCTTTGTAGAACAAGCAAATCAAGAATTGGAGATTTCAAAATATTGCTGTTACAGTCTATAAAAACATCCTAGGCATTCAAAAAATTTTCAATTTTACTTCTTTGAAAGGTGATAAATATTGAATACTCTTAATAATTTCAATGTTCAGATGAAATATTGAAGAATTAACATTTACTGTTAGAGGTAGCATACCATAAACATATAATGAGAAACATATACTTTAATTAAACAAGTAGTGAAACGTGTATATTGCAAATTCTGTAAATAATATTATTAAGAACTTTACTTTTAATTTTTTATATAATTTTATACATTATTTGTACGATACAGGGTGTTCGTGTTATACAAAAAACGGCAGCTCTCTAGCTCTTAAATGTTATGTAAATTGAGAAAAAATGCAGACAAGAGTTATTTTTACTCACAGTTTTTCATAGTGCCCTGTATAGAAGTTTCATTTATGGAAGCAATTGACTGAAATTCTTGTATTTATTATAACGTTATTATTCGGGCTAATTGAACAAAATAAATTTATTAACCGTCCTTAACTTTAAAGTGGTGCCGATTTCGTGAAACAGTTTCTTTTGCTGTGATGTCGGCATCTGAAATGATTTTTCTCACTGTCGTGAATATTTCACTAGAAAACACAATTGTTGGACTGAAATTGAGATCATCATTTTGAATTGACTTGACAAACTATGATCAGAATATCCAGTTCTAAAATTATAGATCATTTACGTCAGTTTTGCAATAGTGCCAAGGTGAAATTTTCAAGATATTCTTTTCTTGTAGATGTTTTTGTATATATGTATGAATATATTTGCCAACCGTTAAATCACTTGCCATTTTATATATTACTGGGTTATGTAGAGTATGGACTTTATTTTTGTATATTTTTTACAGTATTATTCTTTTTACAGTATTTATTCTATTGAAGTAAATAAGTACGCTTTGTATTTTCATTTACAACGAATCGTATCTGTTTTTAACTTTCACATTTAAATTTCACAAATGGATTTGTTAATTTTGTTCTTTACTTTGAGTGGATATTTTCCAGTTGATAACGTTTTTTTTAACGTTTCATCTGGCCTGACTTAATTTCTTTACATTCCTTATTTTCGGTTGTATGTTATACATTTACTCTACCTAATTGTTTGTTCCTATGCAACGTACTTATAAACCAGCTTCTCTAAGTTTTTTTTGCCAGTATTTCTCTGAAAGCTCTATTTGTGTAGAATAGAAAAAATATTTTATTTTCTGGATGTCTCACAAAAAATGTTGTTTTTAATATATGATGAAGCATGGTAATTTTCAAAAACAATTTTAATTGTAAATAGGCAGTTCTTATCTTTTTGGAAATTGCTATGTCAGAATATTACCTTGTATTATATAATTGTAAAATATAAACAAATGATATGCATTCCTTGTAGGCTTTTATTTATTTGACCCATTTATCTAATCCATCCAAAAGTTTTGAATGTTGCTAATTTTATAAAACAGTAATTATTCATTTTTCACAACTAACAGTTATTTGATTTGATCAAGAGAACATCAGATGGAAGAAGTATAAATTAACCACAATGGAGACGCTTATGCAGATTACTCTCTATTTGGGCAAGCCCACTCAAAATACACATTGATTTGGTGTTTGTTTTTCACCTATATGTTTATTAGTAGGAGATTATGGTACTCTCCACTGAAATTGTTGACATGTAGAGTGGTGTTTGTTAGGTTTGCAGTTCTGTGGATGAATTTGACAGATAGGAGGAGAGAATTCACTCACGCCTTTCGACAGAGTTAAACAAAAAAAAACGGAAAAAAGATGATTTCCATCTGAGTGAGAACAAACTATTACCACTTTTACATGGCATCTTAAAGGAGGGTTTCTAACAACCGATGTTACTAAAACTATTGTTATTGCCTGTGTAAACACCATTTTCATCCAACTTTATCAAACTGATTGAATAACACAACATTTCAGAAAAAAAGTAACGTCATAAAACAGGATCTTTTTTGAGGTGCACTTATTGATGAAAAAATTTCTTTCAATATAAAAAAGTTATTTTTTTCAAATGGCTTCAACACACAAAGGAGTCATATGGAATGGAGATGTGACCTCACTGCCTAATTTTCTAAAATGAAGGCAAATTGTAACTGGCGGGCTGAAAAAATTTAGATTGATTAAATATTTTCGAATGAACCTATGCATGAAAATGGCCACTTGAAAACTACCAAACATATTCAGACACGTTTCAAAACATTAAGAATTAGATTTATAATCGATAAAGAATATTTCATTTCAAGAAAGTAAAATAACTTACATCAATTTCACTCACCGAATATATAGCGTCCTCAATACAAATCTAAAAAAAATTTGATTGTTGTCATGAAACGTATTTCCTCAACTTTCCACTTCAGGAAAATTAAGAAAATTCATTGGGCAGCTCATGTGCTAAAGGCAAGGACAGATTTTATAGAGGTAGATGTTGTATAACAACGGATGTTATATGCTCGAGTAAAAAACAAATTATATTCTATGGATTCCAATTCCATGTCAGAAGCCAGACAATTTTGCATCGGGCATGTCCGGTTGATCTTAGTACAGTCCTGGAAAGAATAATAAAGTATTTCTTAAAAGGAAAATGGATTCGAAGAAATAACTGGATCTATGAAAAGATAGTGGGCAATATTCGTTAAGTTGGATCTCATTCATTCATTACTATAGGTGAATCTGAAAGACGAAATTTTAATCAGTAGATACCTGAAAATAAAGGAAGTTATGAGGATAGTATCATAACTAACAAAGATAACACTGAATATATTTCTCATAGCTTCATCTCGATGCCCTTTTTATTTCTCAAATATGTTCAGTAAGATAACCTGCTTAGAGTGGGAACGTCGAACTTTCGAGAACAACCTCTCCATTGTTAGTTAATTTACCACCAAGCCATTCATTCAAGTTTGGAAAATGAGAATCAGGATAGATGAATTCGCAAGTAGGGGTTGTAAGGAAATAATTGAAGTTCATTTATTCTGATAATGTGTGAACTAGTGCATTAAGCTGAAGAAACAACACTCTCTTTTCGCCGAATGTCTTTCGTTTTTTTCAAACCACTTACACTAGAACCTTGCAACTATTTTCCTCCTTTAAAGCCTTACCATGTTCTGAAACATTCATTCATTCTGGAATGAACAAAAAATGATCATTAAGTTGTCAATTTGTTCATTACAATTTTAATTTCCACTACCTACATCCTAATATATATTTCTGAAACTTAATAGGCAGTGAATCTTGATCTGTTTTTGTACAACTCTGCACATGAGCTGGTGAGTAGAGATATTTCTTGCTACAGAATATCCAATATAGCACATTTTCACATAAGGGCAATGTTGAGTCTCATCTCAATTATTATATTGATAGTACAATTTTTATTAAATTCACATCTTTATTATTTTTATCATATTGCGCCTTTTAACGGGATTGAGTTATAAAATACCAAGCCGTAAGATTAGTACTTCGAAATTCTTAAGCATTTGAATTTTAATTAGATTTTATACCTAAGATTGTATCCCTCTTACAAAACCTACCTCATAGTTGAAATATGTTGCCTGACCATTTCATAGGAATCACATAGACACTGCCATGGGCTTATGGCGAGAAATTTATTCACTATTTGTTGATGTGCTAATAATTTCTGGAGTGAATAAACAGCCAAACCACATAATTCACCTAGTAGGTAGGAGTCAAGAGTCATGGTATGTCTACACTCCCTAATGGAAGGAGCTTGGCTCGATGTAAGATCTGATAACTTTTTTCTAGTTGAAGTAAATTATCTAGCTGTACCCACTCTCCCACCCTAATATGGGGGTCTAGGAAAGACTTTGGGAATCATTTTTTTTATATTTCAAGGAACAGAGAAAAAAGTACAGATTTCTCAGTTTTTTGTTGACTGTGCTAATCCTGACAACCAAACTTCAGATTCCTATAACTTCAGGAAGTAACTTAAGTATTATTATGGCAATCAGTAAGTGAGGGAATGAGTGACAAAATCTGGATTTTCTAAATATGAATAAAATTGAAAGTATAATAACTATACGTTCGACACTTGGTATGGTACTCGACAACATCATGTCCTAAGAATTTTTACTTTCTTGGATTATCTCAAGAAAGAATGAGGTTTGGAAAATACGATGAAACGCTTCGAGAAAAGGTAGATAGTTCCTTGTTGGTCTTGGAGGGAGAATGGTAGGGGGCAGCATACATGCAGCAAATTAATACCTCTCCACAAACAATGGATTTATTGAATTGGTCATATGAGCTCCACTACCTAATTGTTATAATTTGAATATTTCAATTACCTATTGCTCTGAAGTTTGTAATGGTTACTGAGAAGAATATACAGCTATCAGGAGGATTTTTCAATAATGATAAAATTCTGGCTTCAGAGATTCTGTATAAAATACCAATAGATATACATTGGAAATGAAGTATTGGTGGATACTTCATTTCCAATGGAGTGGAGTTTAAACACAACCTAGCAGGTTAACTCAATATTAGCAGAAATTTATACATGATAGAGGTACAGAATGAAAGTGAATGACCGATAAGTGAACATTATATACTCGAAATTAAGAAAGCTTTAGAAGGATAGTCGATTACCTAACAAAAAATGTCACCTAAAACATATTGAGTATAAATAATGAGCTATAATTGCAATGTCTTCCATTTGGAAGATGGTTTTACTTCAGCTTCTGGTGATGTCTGGAGTTTGGACCTAGTGCATAAACTCACATTAGATTTATGCCAGGTATTCAAAAATTAATATAATTTGAAACCTGCAACTCTACAGCATAGAATTGAAAAAAAGAAGAATAAAGACAGCGAAGGCGTGAGTTTTTCATCTAAGTATACCTCCCAGCAAGTATTTACAATCGAAGAAGACCAACTGAATGCGTATATAATAAAATCCAGTAAAATGCATCATAGGCTTACATTAACTAAAGTACGGCAGCTTGCTTATGAATACGCTAAAATATTGAATCTTGGGATGTGAATAAAAGTGCTGACTTAGACTGGACATATGGTTTTCGTAAGAGAAATAAAAACATAAGTTTAAGGAAACCCGAAACCACAAGTGTTGTCTGATCATTTTCATTCAATAAGAGTGCCGTTGAAATCTTTTTTAATAATTAAAAAGATGTTCTCACAAGATTTAATTTTACAGCTGACCGCATTATTAATTTCGATGAAACCGGATTACAACGGTTATGAATACTCCAAAGATACTGGCAGAAAAAACTCAACGTCAAATCGGCCAAATTGTTTCTGCAGAGAGAGGCGAGTTGGTGACATTTGGAGGAATCATTACTGGAACTGGCAATAGTATTTCACCTGTATATGTATTTCCCAGGGTTCATTATAGAAGCCATTTTTTAAATGATGCTCCTGAAGGGTCTTTAGGCTTATCGTCTAGATCTGGTTGGATAAATAGCGAATTATTCATAGAGGTTCTTAAACATATCCAAAGATACACAACTAGCACGAAGGAAAGACCGATTCTTCTAATTTGTGACAATCATGAGTCACATATTTCAGTTGAAGCAATTAATTATTCACGTGAAAATGGAATTGTTTACTTATCATTTCCTCCACACATATCTCACAAACTCCAACCTCTTGATGTCGGTGTTTTCGGTCCGTTTGAAGCAAAACTCAAGGTAGCCTTCAATGACTGGCACATTAATCACCCTGGAAAAGCTTCAACTATTTATGGTATTCCAAGTCTTTCTAAATTGGCTTTTTTTGAATTTTTCAACGCGAAAAATATGAGCGCATTTGCTAAGACTGGAATCGTGCCATTCAATAGATTGGTATTTTCTGAAGAAGATTTTTCTCCTTGTGACGTTTATAGCAAACAAAAATCACAAAATGATCCTACAAATGATTCTAGTGCCAATCCAATTGATCCCGAATCGACGATAGAGAGCGAGCAATGTGTTACACCACCTCCAACTAGAGAGTCACCAAACATCATGAATGATGTTGAGTTACATAATATGTCTTCCACATCAAGAGCATTTGATGGAATCAATGAAACACTCACAACCAAGCCATGCATAACTCCTGAAGTTGTATGGCCTTATCCAAAAATTTACCGAAACTTTCCAACCAGAAAAGGAAAGGGAAAGGGTAAATCGTGAATTTACACAGATACTCCAGAAAAGCAAAGAATAGAAGAACTGCAAAGAACTAAGGATGACGCAAATCAAAAAAAAGAACAACGAAAACGCGAAAAAGATCTTGAAACTGCTCAAAATTTGCTAGGCATAACTGTTAATCCCAACAAGAAACCAACTAAAAGGACAAGGGCTATATCTATGGAATCCGACTCTTCTGCTGATATTTCTTTATAGGAATCAATCGATTCTGAAGGATCTACCATGGAATCATCTAATGATGATATTATTAATACTGCCCCATCTGCAGCAAATGATCTTAATGATGGTGACTATGTTATAACAAAGGTAATTAATGTAGGAAAGAACTAACCTCATAAGCATTTTGTTGGAAAAATAGTGTCAAGATATCCCGATAGCCAGAACGACTTTCTAGTCACTTTTTTGAAACTCAAACCGACTGGAACTGTTGTGTTTCCTGATATAAAAGACGAATCTTCGGTTAATATTTCTGATATTCTGCTGAAGTTAAAACTATAGTTAAAACAGGAACTAGAAGAACATCTTCTCTATTCAATTTTAAGATAAATTTGTCACCTTACAACATTTCAATGTAAGCTAATTCACTTCATAGAAACTAATGATGACTGATTAGGTCAATAAAAGAATGATTGAGTATTTTTCATGGCATAGCTTGTTGTTTGGATTTACTTGTTCTATTTTTATTCAAAAAGCGCAAAAAGCATTCATTTCAATTAGTACTAGAATAAACTTAAGTACATATAATTTACCAAAAAGTAAAAAAATAAGTAATTGATAAATAAATGTCATAAAAATCAATGAAAGTTGTTTAATTTATAGAAATGTTTTTATGAATGAAAGTGCCCCAGTATATGTATCAATGTACCCCACATGTGGGGTACATTCATGTTTTAGTAAATAGGCTCTAAAGGCTCGCTAATATTTTTTGTGATTGAATCTAAGGAATAATTTGACTTCGAAATGTTGTTTGAATATATATTGAATACATTATGATTCTTAAATCAGATGTTACTGTCAATAGGTCTTCTTTTATTGGATCTAAGTAAAAATTGTATCAAGGTGTACAGTGTGAACCATTTTTAATGGAAACACCCCCCTAAAATTTGAAGTTGTAAATCGATTTTAATTTTTTTTTTAAATGTCAAGTACTAAAAGGTCTACCTTGGGACAAAATTTGAAATGTTTATGTGAAAGTGGCTTCGTCGGTAAATAAAATATTTCTTAGGAAATATCTATTAACGATGAGATTGGAACCTTTGGTGTGAAAGTTGAATAACTTTTTTCGAGATCAATTGCCCTAACACCAAACTGATATTTTTGCACTCGACGCGCGTTTCGCCAACAAAGTTAGCATCCTCAGGAGAAGAGATCAATTTTCTGGAGATTTCGACCACTCTGTAAATTATTTTCGAAAATTCGATGGACCTGTTCATGACTTGATGCCTAACGTGTGATTCTGTAAAATTTCACATTTTCAACTGTTACTGTCTATGAGTTATGATTTTTTCGGAGTAGTGCAGTAACTGTCAAATTTTTCAGAAAAAAACATTTCATCTGAAAAAGGTTAGTAGCGCCCTCTCTGCATCGAGTAACACAACTACTAGTTGCGAATACTGAAAATAATGACTTTTTACTGAAATTTTGTTCGACCTTGATATCTTGTCCCATAACTTTTCTCTTAGATGCTTGTTGGTCACTCAGTTTTTTGGCAAAAAATAAAATGGATGCATTATTTGAATATCGGTAATAAAAACATTTGAAGAAATGTCACATAAATCAAGAGGTTCTTCAACCAATTAAGAAGAATTCGTCCTCATCCCATTCGTGAAAAAGGTGATTCAAATGAATGGAATTTTGAGTGTCTGAAGTTTCATCGTTTGATATGTTTTATACTTAAAAATCCATTAAGATTACAAGAAAAGTCGAACTCAAATAGATAAAATAATTTATTACCATCTTACTACATCTTTGTAATTCTTTGAAATGTCAAATAATGAATAAATGGGAAATAACACTTTACCGCAAGTAGTCAGATTGCTATCGCTTTGTGGTAGATTTATCCATGAAATAATTTTATTACCATTCTCATAGATTCTCAATCAGTGGGTAAAATTAGTAAAGTGAACAAAATTTGATCAACGAAAATGCAGAAAAATAATTTTAACAAAGGTACGTATTTTACTCATCTATTTTTTTTGGGGGGAGATGCACAGACAGTGCAGGAAAATCTGTAAGATGCTCTGAGATTGGTGCCTTTGTGGGAAAAAGCTTTCCTATCCGTGACCAGTCTAGCTGGGGTTACTTTTGCGTTGTCTCTCCTGAGTCGTATGGCCTGCTGGAATTCTCTAAAAAATGCCTTCAAAAGGAATGTGTGCAGTGGAGAATAAAGGGTACAAATACCAGCATCGTATTTACTTCGTTCAAAACAACGGGAATATCAACTCCAGCACCAACTCGAGCACTGAGACCGTTATCACATCACATTTGATACTGTCTACCGCAGTAGTAGACGAAACGTCAGGCATAAAAACCTGCAGACCACGGCCAAAAAAAAAACGGGAAATAGCTTCCACACAGTCACTCCAGTTTATTCCAATTAATGTTCAAACTTTTTACCATTCGCTTTCTGACAATAATGAAGTCTGTTTATAAATTCATTTCTCACATTATAAATTGTTCCTGGAGTATTTTATTTGCAAGCAACTCTTTTTCTATCCACGAGTTCTGAAATGAGCTGCAGTTGTGTATCGTTCTCTTTAGAGGTCAAATACCCTCAAAACATGTAAAGGCATTACATCAGGTGATCTAGTGGGCTTTTCTGAAGGAACACGCCTGCCTTCTGGATTGGACAAATTCAATTTGAGTTTGAGTTCTAAACTGTTACAGCAAGATGAGGTAGCTCTTCATTATGACAGGCTGGTTGGAAAGTGGTTAGATGACAATTATCCAAACCGATGAATGAGCCAACGTGATCTCTAAGAATGACCCATTAGATCTCCTCAGATTTTTTGTGGATATTCGTGAAATCTATGTATACGTTATACAATCACACTCTCTATTCTAGAGCTCATGGTTCAAATGAGAGATACTCATAAAAAAATTAGCCACAAAATTCTACAATATAAGAAATGCATCAGTAAACGAGCTTCATTATTGTCAGAAGTTAACATTTTAATTAATTATTGGAATAAACTGAAACATACATTTTTTCTTGAAATTATGACATCGTTTGTTTGCAGATTATTGTAACAAGTATAAATCTACTAATTACTCAGGGTGGGTTGATTCCATTTCAAAAAAGAAAAATTGTTGGATACAGAATTGAAGTACTCAAAATGTGAGATTTTTGTACGACCTTGATATTTTGTCCATTCAAAAGTTAAGAGGGGAAGTATCCGCACTGTATAAGGATGACCGAATCAAGAGGTGGCAGGTTAAATTTCTCAAAATTGAAATTTATGAAAAGTCAAATAAATATGCAGAACTCCAAATTGAAAAATTGCATTTAAATAATTTTTTTTATTTTTTACTCTCACATAGGTATAGGTATGAGTTTATGATGTCACCATTAACTATTGGTCAAAATATTAAAAATATTTACTGAGGCGACACCCTATATTTGCAAACGAGGTGCGTGAATCTATTTCTATTCAAATCGATTACGCTTGTAGGGGCAAGTAAAAACTTATGTTTATGGCTTGATACCGATTGTATAGATTCACAAAACAACATGTCAGTTAAGTATGTAAGACTACTGTTAACATTTTGAGGCACTTATGTCCTAATAGACTTTCATTGTCTGAAAACTTGAAACTCAGCCTTTGCGAGTCTCTGATACTCCCAAGACTNGAATTCAGTTCTATTATATCAAGAAGGTTACGTACAGCGCCATCTGCCCGCGAATAGATCAAGCAATAATGTCGATAATTCTGTCAAATACTGAAACCGAGCTTGAGAGTTACAAACAAACAAACAAACATACATACATACATACATATAGGTGAAGCTAATAAAAAGTGTGTAATAAAATATTGACGGGTCTGAGCGATTTTCAATTTTTTTCACGAGTTCGCAGATTAGGGGAGGTGACAAGTTTTAGCTGCCACACACTGTACTATAATCAAAACTGAACCAGTAAGTAGGCAATCGATAGAAATGAAAATGAATTGTTAGTCAATTTGCAAATAAGGCGCAGGTGAAATCTGTATTGTATAGTATTGCAGCTGTAGTGTACAGTACAGCTCTAGACAATAATGTCAGCAGACGGTCTGGATAATTTTCTCATAATGACACAATGAAACTAATGAGACTTATTCAATAAGTTTTAGAATATTGGAGGACTAAGTCGATCGATGAGTGGAATTTTGTGCGAATTCACAATATCGGTTTAATTTACTCTCAAAATTTTTACAAAGAAAATTATACAGTTGCTTTTGTTAAAGAAGAAAACATATATTGAGTCTGCCTAAAATCATTTTCAGTAAACAAATTTTGAGAATAAGTATACCTCAAATAAAGTTTGTTGAAAAATATATCGTGCTTTTTTTGTTGTTTCCGTCGTCAGTGATGCCTGATAATCTTTTCGGTTAAATGGGCAAACTAGCCTTCTCGATGCCGAAAACAAAAAAAAAATTGTCAGTTTTTAAAATGTATTTTTTCTTTTTTATGAAAAAAATACAAGCACTACAGGAAAATCCTTAAGGCGCTCTTAGAGCGGTGCCTGTGCGAAAGTAGTGATTCACATTGGATTTGAATCGCTGGAGATTAAATCCACTTGAAAAAACGTCCACATAAACGCAGTTCTCCAAATGCAAGAGTTCTTAAACAGTGAAGTTCGAGGTGTACTGAGTTAAACCTTAAAACGATGAGCAGCCACAGTCCGTCGCGTATTTCTGATATGTACTGTGGAATCAAATGTGACAAGTCACTTGAGCACCTCCGGTGAAAATATCTAAAGAAGAGAGACACATCTCCAACCCTTCGTCGATGTTCCAACCGATCAAAGTTGCACGTGATGTTCGCGTCTCCAATCTCTCCAAGCTCTTTCCTGGATGGAATCAAGCAACTTATCAGGGTATGTTTGGGGTCAGAGCTCCTTACATGAGAACAATACTCCAAAGAAGATCTGATCTGAGCTTTATAAAGCATCAAAAGTTGCTGAGGTGTATACAATTTCCTGGTTCGGAACAGTGTTCCAAGCTATTGAAAAGGAGTCTTTGCAATTCCAGCGACATGATTGTGCCAAGATATATTGGTGCCCAATTGCGGAACTGGGTTTATGTATGCCTTTTTGTGCTCGTCGTATACATAAACCCAATAGTATATAAATCAAACCTCGCAACACACGCCATACAAAACAAACATAATTTCTCCCCGCCAGAGAACATGAAACTCATAAAACAAGACAATAAAGGAAAACCGAATGGACATTTGGGAAAACTTAAACATTCATAAATTTAACAGTCATAAATTACTTATCGAGGATCAAGTACAAATCAAGACACGACACAAGACCTAACATTCAATATATTAAACAAATCAATACACAATCCTAGAAACAGTAAACCTAGAGAAGATCCAACACAAAGAATAGTAACTGATGTAACCCAAATACAGGAAAATTAACCTAAAGAACCTGGAGTACCTGTATTGAGGCGTTCGGACCCTATAAATAAAGGACATACAACAGGATGACACGTTCAATTTGAGTAGAGCCTAGATGATGATAGTATGACCAGCTATCGAAAGTGCTCGCATTCTGAAACGGCTCATTTCCGGACACACATGTCCTACCTCATTTTTCATCATTTTGCAAGAGGAATGACGTGGTATAAGTTTGTCCGTCGAATTCTGAAACACCCTGTATATATAGATATTATGGAGTGTGTATGATATATATTTAGAAATCGATATGCGTGAACACGAGTTTTTTCAAACATAAAACTTTCCAGGCGGAAAAAGGATTGTCGTATAATTCGAATGATAAAAAATGAAACATATTTTCCGTATCAAGTATTATTTTTTGAGAGACTAGGTTAGAACGCAAACGATTTCCATCAGAAGATCTTCAAAAATTAAGAAATGTTTTTGGCAAATTTGTTAATTAACTTAATGTTGGTATGTGAGTGGACCCAGTCAGACTTCAGGGCAATTAAAAACACATCAATAGGGAGACTCGATATAACACAGATACCCTGTACATAATACCAGCACGTCTGAATCATAAAATGACGTAACAACGTATCCCATTCAAGGTATAAACAAATTAGTAATGAAAGAAAATTGTCTGCGATTTTTTTACGAGTCATCAGCTTTACATAATAGTTCCAGTCGTTCAAGTAAAACCTTGTATTTTTATTCATCAAAGAGTATTAACAAGCCAAAGAAATAAATATTTGGGGACCACCAATACCGGTACCTGTTAGGTCTCTTTCAATTCGAAGACTTTCACTCGTGTTTCGCGTTGCCCGCAAGTCTAATCAGACACATATTGTGCGATTGTGGTTTCTTTTACAGCCAATTAATACGTGCATTGTTCTTCTTGTGATTGAAGATGAAATCGGCAAGTATCTATATTTACTCATAGCAGCTGCAGGTATATTCACACAATTTGTAAATTTTAAGGCTCACGATCTATTATATAAAAGTTGAATATCGTAATAGTTTATCGGATTATTATTGATCTGTATGTTACTATATAGTGAGATAGTTTTGACCATATGCGTTTTTTGAAGTAACCTTAACCCAAATTTATAGAAAAATTACAGCTCTATGTACGTTAGTAACAATTTTTCTACATTTCAAGTATAGGGGCTGGATTGTTCATGAAGAAAAATTAAAATTGATAGTCTACTATATACAGATCGAAAAATAGCAAGAGCGAAAGCATGTAGTCGAAATGAAAACAAGACAAATTTTGTCTACTCATTACTAAAAATATTCATTATTTCTTTACTAGCACCTCTAGCACTGAAATGTTTTTTTCAAGGTGAAGTCTGTCTTTTGCAAGTATTCTATAGTGCATATTTATCTATATTCGACTTCCAAATAAGAGAACTAACGAACATCGAGATATACATCAAGGTTATCCATGAGATAGTTGCAGAGGGATAACTCATAAATATCCTCGAAGAATATGTTATGAGTATTCAATGTATACACGCACGCACGCGCAAACACGCACACACACAAGCACAAGAGTGTAGAAATAAATAAACATAATAATATTATTATCAATAAGGATGCTGGACCAATACCTAATACTATATTATTTATTTATTTTAATTATCAGATTTGCCTGACTTACATAAGGACACTGTAGGTGAAATTAATTTAAGACTAGTAGATGAAGCAACATTGTGAAATTAATTTGAGACACTTAAGAAGCAGGTACCTAGAAGAGGTATCTATGGTATAAATAAGGATAACATTGTACGTATCTATAGTTGAAGATGATCACTTGGTGATCGAAACACATGTCGAGCTGTTAAAGTAACGGTTTGGTGTTAGGATAAAACTCCAGTAATATTCATGAAAAAAATGGTTTAAAAACCTAACTGATGTCAATTTTCCCAGTGATATCCAAAATATTTTATCACTTGGTCCAAAATTCAGTGTTTCTCCAGATAAACGTAACATCAACATTTCGTGTCTGTTTGGAATATATAATGGAAAATTTTGAAGATACCCTAAGGAATTTATACAGAACTCAAGTAACAAATGTAATCACTAATTCAACTATTATTGAAAAATAATAAATATTATTCTATTTTAAGATCTAATCCAACTTCAACATTATAACAGAAAGCTAACAAGTTAGAAACAAATCTGAAAAATTCCCAAAAAATATGTTCTACAACAGCTAAATCATTAATGATATATACGTATCCATAGCGATTTTAATCGTAACCAAAAATCCGTAAACTAACTTCATCGATGAGTCCCATCGTATCTTCCGATGCTCCAAACTCTAAATTTTGCAAATTTTTGACGAATATATTAACAAACAAACAATCAATACCATGTCAAAGATTAATTCTCTTTCAGCGAATTTATTAACAATTTTCAAATACCTTAAAATTATGTTATAAACCTAGACGTTGTTTCACTTTTTACAAATATGCCTTTGGAAATAGTGAAACAATGTATAAATGAAAATTGGAACAACATTGAAGAATAATGTAACCTATAGAAAATCACATTCATGAAAATTCTAGACTCCATTTTTGATATTTTCTATTTAATGATAAATTTTTTAACAAATATTTGTCATACCAATGGGTTGAACAATATAACCCATTTCATCCAATTATGTTGATTCAATAGCGTTGAGTGAACACGTCAATACGGAGGATCACAAAATGAATTTTCAGAACCCACAAATTTTGCATGAATAAGAAAACATATCTTAACAATTTGAACCAAATTTATACATTTATACAAATCCTAATGAATTCAATATGGATATTGTATTCCAACAAGATGGAGCACCACCACATTACTCCAGAAAAGTAAGAAACTATTTGGATACTACTTTTCCCGGTCGTTGGATCGGCCGTCGAGGTGGTCCTACAGAATGGCCAGCCCGCTCGCCAGATTTGACACCTTTGGACTTTTTTTATGGGGTTATTTGAAGCAAAAGGTGTAAGAAATTCAATATTGGATATACGGAAGAGAATAATACATATTTCTAGAGATATTGACGTTACTGTGTTCGAAAATGTTCGACGTGAAATGTCGGATAGGCTGTTCATATGTCAAGAAATTCCAGGCAACCATTTCGAGCATCTTCTGAACTGACCTCAAGCTTATTACCTAATATTATGTAGTTGGATGTCAATGTATTCAGGCAATTATTGAAAGTTCTGTTATTTTATAGTTGTTGGAGATATTGACATTATATTCTAGGGTTGTGAAGCATTTATCAGGAGCTTCAAAAAAATGTGTCACAAGACCCCCTTTTTTTAATTTTTTTTCCCAGATGGCGGCCAGTCGCCATCTTGAAAGTTTCATTTATCAATTTCACTTCAAAATAAAGTATTCATGCATTAATTTCATTATCCCAAATTTCAATTTTTTGAGTTGACCCGTTCAAAAAATAAAAGGTGGGGGGGACATTAAAGAAATGCATTGTATACACAAATATATACATAGATACATGTTGCATAAGCAAAGAAAGTATTGAATTTTTCAGCCAATTCATACTATTTATTCTTTCTAGTTAACAGGTATACACGGAATTATTAAACCGTTTAGTTTCGTTTCGTTCCGGTTTCGCCGAATTCTCTTGGCATTCTAAATGATGTTTCTGCTTCTGTAATGTGAAGGTTGATGACCTGTTGAAAAAGTCTAAAATAACGACCCAACTTGTATGCCATAATCGTAAAAATTTTAAATATTATATATTATACTGGAAATGTTAAATTTTGAATTTAAACTTTGTTTGAACAGGAGAACAGAAATACCAATTTTTTAATTTATCTTTATTTAAAAAATGTGGGATACCTCCAAAGGAAAGAAGAAAACGAATTAAATTCAAAACAAACTTTTTCTCAGAAACCAATCTCTTTCAATAGAAATACCACATTTTGAAGTATTGACAAATATTTGTTTTTCGAAAAAGAAAAGAAATTTGGATTTTTCAATAACTTCAGATATAGCCAGAGAAGTAACGCATGCTCACTTAATATATCGACTGTATCTGCATAGTTTTTTAAAAAATTGGAGAAGTAATTCAGAATAAACAAAGAGTATCATGTGAAAATATGCTCGAAGTGAATATGAGGTATACCTATAAGTTTGAAAAGTTTTTAAATGAAGTATGAAAAAACCGAAATGCAAGGTTTATGTAGTGGAACTCAAAAACTAAAAAGGAAGAAAAAATAAAAAGCGCCGCTCACACTCCAAAACATTTGACGTCGCTTACTGATATTTTTGTCTTTAGTTTTTAAGACAAAAGACAAAATTATGTGCATATTGAAGTTTGCATAGCATAGCATAGAATAATATTTTACAAAACGTAATTGTTCCAGATTTAATTCAAAAAATACTAACTTTAAAGATCATATGGTCCTACTTCTTGTTATAAGGTCCAAAGGAGTATTTATGAGTATTTTCGAGAACAAAGTTCCTGGTTTTTCCTAGTTTTTCTATTCGTTAACTACATTTACAGTTTTTTCCAGATAAACCAACCTGAGTATGATTATTAGTGGCTAGATGATTGGGACCCATTTTCTAGAATGAAATAATGGAATGAATGCTCTCCTTATTGGAAAGGTCACCGTATTTTTTTCTCACTTACTTCTCACGACTTACCCTTTGGGCATCTTTTGCTTCACTAGCCAGAAGTGAAATTATTGGGAATACTTTATTTTTTATGAAGCCCCACAACGAAAAATCTAGAAGAGAAAGGTCCGATGAATGTGGTGACGATTCAGTAGGACCATTATTTCCTATCCATCCTGGCATAGTTCACTGAGAAAATCTCTGCACATTCTTTTGCGATGTGGTAGAACTCTGTTGTATTGGAAATACTCATATTTTCTTATTAGAGTGAGTGGCAAAACATCTTGAAACTCAATTAGAGTCCCTAATAAAAAGTCCGAGTATAATTCTTCGGTCAGAGATGTTTTAAAAAGTCGGTGCCAATAATTTTATTATCAAGAACACCAAGGCATACGTTAACAGCATATCTCTATTGAAAATTAATAACTCTATGTGAATATTCATTTTCTTGTCGCCAGCGATAATGTATATTCCTGTTCAACCATCCGTTATTGGTAAATCTACTTTCATCACACCACATTTTTTTGCAAATTTCATTATTTTCATGAAATTCGCAAATGATGGACTTTCCTGACTCGATAAGACTTGAATTTATTTATCTTTAAAATTTTCCGTACAGACGTAGCGGATATTACCGAATTAAGAGCAATCTCCCTCAGGGAGACTTTCTTGTTCTGTTTTTTATTTTCCACAAATCCACTTTATCATTATTGTGAACATTTGAACTCGCCTAAAACGCCGATTTCATTATCGCCACCACATTCAGTAACCGTACATTTTCTTTTGGAGGTTTTTTCAAAGGATCCATAAATTCGTAAACTATTTTCGATACATTGAAAATATCTATGATTAGGTTGTCGTCCTGATACATTGCCAGAGATTTGGTAGCATTTCTCCAACATATTGAATAAACAAAAAGCATATCAACTTTTTCGTCATTAGAAAAAATAATGTTTTTTCCTTAAAATCGCTCACGAAATTGAATCATTGTTTTATTTCGTGTTTGACAATTGACTTGACATTCACATTCATGTATTTCATGGCTTACTTCAAAAAAGAAAGTATCGCTACATCTACAAATTCGCAAGAGACATTTGGAAATTATGAATGGCTTGATATTGATACAACCCTGACAGAAATATATTGGGATTATTGATATTATCAATCTGAAAAAACCTTTATGTTGCACTCCTAAAAAAGCAAATATTGGTTATCTACCACCCCTCTAGTGTTTTGGATGTTGCTGGCAGAACAGAAACAATTGAAGTATCATTCTTATTTTGTTGATTACATGAAACAAAAACTGGAATATTTCAACTTAAAACAGAAATTTGAAATCGTCAGCTCGATATGTCCAACTTTTATGAATAACCCAAATCCTTGTTGAATTTATAACAATTTCATCTTTTCAGATAATAATGATAAGCTGCTTGCTGCCTCTAGTTCTGAGTAATCCCCTGACGAATGCCTATCATCAAATCGAATTAAGTGAAATATCAACCCTTCCACCACCCCCTAGGCCTTACGCATTTGGGTATGCAGCAGGAAGGTATCCAGGGCATATAGACAGAACTCATTCAGAGGTATCTGATGGATCAGGAGTAGTACAAGGTAAATGATTTTTAAACGGTTTTATTTCGCTTGCCCGTTTGTTTGTTTGTTTGGTAAAATGTAATGATTCAAGTTTGACCCCCTTACTGTTGACAGATTGATCTGATATTTGGTTCACACATTTAGTTTTGATGACAATACAACTTAATAAATTCTGTATCATTGTAAATCCAAGATTGTCACAGCTACAAAATGACGAATTACATATTGTTTCACAACTACCTCAGTATGGGTATCAAATGACAGGGTTTGACTAGTAGATGGCTGCAGCTACAAAATGGCGGATTGCATATTTCCTTGTAATAATGAGGTACCAAATGAATCAAACAGAATGTGAAGAATTGAGTAACAAAATTAGAAACTAAAAACTTGAAAATAAAATAAGTAAAATTCTTTTATGGTAAACAGTTTTAGTAAAAAAAAAAGATAATAATGATGTAGATGATATACCAAAAGCTAAAAAATAATTCGGTAGGTCATCACACCACTCTCTTCAGCAATCTACGGTATTGATCAGTAAAAAAAGTAATGAAATCGTTGGGCGTAGTTTTATATATTTACTCAGGTTACGCTACGCCCAACTATTTTATTATTGTTTTATCTGATCAATATCGTAGATTTCTGAGGCGAGTAGTGTGACGACTACTACCTAGGACCTTCCGAATTATTTTTTAGTTTTCAGTACATTATCTATATCAATTTTATCTTTTTTTTTAATAAAACCCGTTAACATATGCATTTTTTCCTCATTTTATTAGTTCCTGTTGTTGAGTTGCTCTAAATATATATAACCAGTAAGAAAAAGTGAACAATTCTTTCCACCAGGCAATTTTCTTCTATTTCTATCCATTCATGGAGGTGAACAAAATACTGGACAATTGATTAAGAAAACTGAGCGTGTTTGACTCTCAAGTTCCGCTAATTTAAAGATGAATCGTTCTATAGTAAATGAAGAATGGACAATTCGAAAGAGGTGAGGTGTAGAAAATTATGAAAACTTTGATCTACGATTCGACCACGTGACGTTGCTCTCAGTTTTGGTCTAGAAACGAGAGTGACATCAAACGAAGTGACGCAGTGAAATAGTTGAGCATTCTTGAAGTATAAGTACTAGTGTTCTCAAGTTGTATTTTTTTATCAACAAAATTTTTGATATTGTTACATTAACTGGTTTTGAAATTATATGAGTGGTTCTTTAGTGAAATATTCAGCCATACTGATTAGTTAATTAATTGACCTACCGTGATTAATTACTATTTTCACAAACTTCATATCGTCTAATCTATGAGTAAGTCCTACATCCAAAATCCATTTAGTTCACATTATGACATTCATAGGACATTAACGAGCTTTAGGCATAAATTATGTACGAACAAATTTAAAACTATTACGGCAATTATTGACGATCCGTTTATTTATTCGATGCCATTCGATATTCCTCAATATTAGACAATTACTTCGCTCATAGCTAAATTCCAATAATCATTTCTAGTATTTATAGGAGAATTCACAATCTATATAGAATATTGAATGATTGAGCTTTTTTTTTGGAAACGTGAATTTTCAATGTCATTTTTTTCCATTTATAAATTGAATTTTATTGGACTATTTCACTGGTTGAAAACGTGTTGATTCTTGCTGCTACAAATTGAAATATATGCTCGAGTTCACTGGATTTATAATAACGTCTAGAAAAATGTGAAAAGTTTTCAACTAATTTACTCAACAACTATTGAGGCAGAAAAATTAAAACAAATAACTATTCTTACTAGTTTTTATTTAATATTGAAAATATGATTTCGCGCGGTGAGCGCTGTTATTTGCAGTCTCTTTGGTTTTTACCTGGGAAAAGGCTCAATAGCTGAATCACTAAGACTCCTTTTCTGTTTTCTCAACATTATTTTCCGTACTGGCTACTTTCATTTATCTCAGTTAGATATTGTTCTAGTCTAGCCCTTCATTGAACGACATTCCATACCTTTACATCTGCTATCATTTCATCCCCTTAGTCTCTAGTACAATTTCTGTGCTGCGGCCGATTTAGTGGTTCGTCAATCTCATTATTCTCAATTATTTAAAGCTTCTGAGATCTTTCTAAAATAAAATAACAATCTAAAGAAATGAATTTTAATAACGTTCAAGCCAGTCTCGAATATACCTACCCAATAGGTTGAATGGACTGACGCCTATCAGAAAACAACTACTCCTCTGGCTAATACCACAAAGGGCGTTGGATTATATCCGACAGGCGTCTGTGCAGGAATATTCACAGAAAATTTCCTGCATATGCAATTGGCAATACAACTGAAAGAGTCGACTTTCAATTTTGGAACGGGCACACTTGCAGACCGGTTTCGGGCTCATTAGCCACTCATCAGTGCAATATAGTGGCCATCATCGACCTAAAATCAATGATATTCCATAATTGAAAATCGGAATTCTTTCACAGTATTTCATTCCTCTTTCTAAGTTGGAGCGAACAACAAAATGTCACTCTATCTCCACCTACCACTACCAGTGAAGAAATGTATGGCAAATCAAAATACCGCTGTTGGTATAGGTTAATACATTCAACTCTTTTTGAAATAATTTAAAAATTGATATTGAGGGTTGTATTTCAAGTAATTGAATAAATATTGTAAAATATCAAGTGTTCCCACTAGTTTTGAAAGAACCGGCAGAAGCCTATCAGGAATCAAGACATTTTCAGTAGTAACTTTATTCATTTTATTAACCTTCAGAAAAAGGAATTAGTCCTTCAATGAATTTATTTACACCCCAAATATATTTTCCAGTTTTGTACAGTGGTGTTTTCGTTTATTTCCAGGTTCCTATTCCTACGTGGATCCAAGACAACAGATTCGTACTGTTGAGTACATCGCAGACAAGAATGGCTTCCGACAAATTTCCAATCAAAATGTTCCCGACCTTCCCACGGACACCCCCGTAGTTGCAGCTGCTAAACTAAAACACCTTCAAAAATTTTCAGCAATTGCTCAGTCGAATCAAGTGGCTCCAAGTCAGGTTGTTTTACCGGTTGATACCAAAGCAGTACAATTTGCCAAAAACAAACATTTTTCACTGTACCAACAAATAGCTGACGAACACGCAAGGATGGCTGCTGAATTAGAAGCGTTGAAAAGGGCTGAAGAAGCAAGTACTCGGGAAAGTGTGTTGGGATACGGCGCTCATATCAATTAAATAACTTAAGAAAACAGATGTAAATAAGAAAGTTGAGCCATAAGGTATGAATATGAATTCATGCATGTTTAAATAAGTTTAGGGATTTTGAGGGAAAACTTTTATTTAGAAGGTGAAACAAAGATTGAGTAGCCGATATAATACGAGTGTCATGAACAACAATAAATAATTTTACTAAACTATAAAATAAAAGGTATTTGACTATGGAGTAAGGATTCTAATGATGAAATAAGTTAAAAGAGAAATCGATTAAGGTATGTTCTTTCCAGATTATAATTAATCAAGTTTAAAAAAAATGGCTCTAACAATTGAACTCCTCCTATTTCATTACTTTCTTGGTGAGAAAAATTATATGAAAAAACTTCTGAGGCTTTGAAATATCAGTTCACATGAGTTTGGTGATTTTCTTGCAACTTTCCATAAGGAATAGTTAGGAGTTTCTTGGTTTGATTGACTTATGGTTTGTATTCATTGATGAAATAAAATCTTAGATTCATAACGGACTTTACTTCCTTTGATTATTAATTCCACAAGTAATGAAGGTTATAGGTCAAGAGAGAAACTGATACCTAGTTCAAAAAATGGAAAAACCAACAGACACGGGTGGATTCCAGCTCTATAATCTTTGGGAGCGGGTCATGAATATCATGATTATACATCACAGGTAGGGAGTAGCGATCCTGTCAACATGGTTCTTTAATGAATATGGCAGAATATTATCAGATTCCGGATGTTTCAAAAGTTACAGCCACCATATGTCTACAAATCAACATAAAGGCTTCTCTATTGAAAGCACTTTTCCCTCACCAGAACAAAAATGCTGTTTATCGTCGCGCATTTCGTTTACCTTTTTAGCATCATCAGGAGGGGACTAAAAGTTATTATGTTCAATTCTGGCGAAATTACAAGCCATTGAATGAATTTCAAGATGCTGATTAAATTGCAAACCAGGTTCAGTGTCTATTGAAATGAGATTATTAGAAATCTTGCTTCCAGATAATAGTTTCATTCAAAAGTCGGAGGATTTATTATTACATTTTGAGGAAAAACTTTACCTTCACTACTGAAATACATTATCTGAATTTCAAATATTTGCTATATTTTCTTTTTCAACGAGTGATAATTACTCAACTGTTTTGTACTGTATATCAAAGTGTCACTGATTTTAAATCTTGGCATTAAAAAAGGTCTTATAATAGTAAATTATTCAACGAGCGAGAAGAAATGTGGCCATTACTCGTGACGATGAAGTTTATTGTCAAGCGAGTAATGCCCATTTTTTGCGAGGAGAATACTTTACTTTTTCTATAATTTCTATGACAGGATTATTTTAAAATATTAGGTTATATTAAAATCAAAACGGAAGAAAATAACAGAGTCTTATATGGCGTCTACTCGTTACACCAGTTTAAAATATGTCTAAAAGCACAAAAAAATACGACTTTCACAATAACAAACTCAACGTTTCAGAAACCTAATTGGTATAGTTAAATAAAAATTTAATCAAAATCAAAAAAAAACAATGTAATACTGTCCGAAAATAATCCTCAAAAAATGTTAAAATAACACACTAAGTAAGCAATCCTGTATGTCCATAATCGTTGTTTTTTATAGAGGAACGGAACTTTAAGTTGGCAACACTTTTTTAGCTGGCGGCCATTTTGTCAGCTGTCAAGTGATTTAGGTTTATTTTGGTTTGACACTTCAACATGAGTAGACTGACGCCTCAACAACGCTTCCAAATTGTGCAAATTTATTTTGAAAATCATGATTCAGTTCGAAATACGTATCGCGCACTACGTCCATTTTACGGGCAAAATAATCGTCCATCAGAGCAATTAATTAGATTAACTATGGAACGTTTTCGCACCACTTTTACTCTAAATGAAAATGAATAATAATACGCATTTACACAGACGTCGTACAGTGCGTACAGAACGATTCTGGTTCATCAAGATGGCCCTCATGTCACACATCTCGTGCCACAATTGATTCATTGAAGAAAACGTTCGGTAACCGCATAGTTTTACGTTTCGGACCCATGAATTGACCTCCAAGATCGTGCGATTTAACGCCTCTTGACTATTTTCTGTGGGGATATGTGAAGTCGCTAGTCTATGCCGATTAGCCCGAAACGATTGGCCACTTGGAGGACAACATTCGCCGCGTTGTTGCCGACATACAGCCACAAATGTTGGAAAGAGTCATCGAAAATTGGACCTCCATATTAGACGACGTCCGAGCCAGCCGTGGTGGTCATATGCAGAAGTCATATTTAAATTATAATGCCAGAAGATTATCTTTCGAATTGAGTGAATTTCACGTCAATTCAAAAATGTATCTGTGTTTAATTTCATTTCAAAGTTCTGTACCCCTGTAAAAACACCCTATATTTATCCTACCGTGTCGTGGTATATACTGATCGATAGAGAATGTTGTACTCTATATATAGAGGCTCTTAATATTTTCCCAAAATTTAATTTTTTGCCATTTTCACCAGAATTAACCAGAAATTTTGCGTTGATAATGTTAATGAACGCACTGTTTGACGTTGGTTTGCGAAATTTCGTTCCGGAGATTTTAGCCTCAAAGATGAGCCCCGAAGTGGTTGACCTACAGTAAACCAGGACGAGGATTTGAGGACCCTGGTGGAGACTGACACATCACAAACGGTGCGTGGGCTGGCGGAAGAACTGGGCTTCAACTCCTTTGTGGTTTTTGATGGTTTAAAACGTATTGGAACAGCGGGTGTCCCACAATTTGAACAATCGACAGAAATTGTAACGTTTCGAACTCTGTTCTTCTTTGCACATACGTAACCAAAACGATACTTTTTTGGATCGGATCGTCACATGGATCCTCTATGATAAGAGGAGATATTCAGTGGTTGGACACCGATGAACCACCCTGGTACTTTCCATAGTAGAAAACCCTCCAAAAAAAGACCATGGTTACTGTGCAGTGGTCAGCGGCTTGTGTATAGATAACTTTCTGCAACCGGGTCACACCATCACAACAGTGTCCTATCGTGAGGAAATCGAAGAAATGTACCGAAAATGGCGTCAGCAGCAGCCGGTACTGGTCAACAGAAGAGGTCTGGTCCTGCTCTACGACAATGCCCGTCCGCACGTTTGACAAATCACCGTCGGAAAAGTAAACGAATTGAGCGTCGATGTTCAGACTCACCCACCGTACTCCCCAGACATCTAACCAACCGACTACAATATTTTCAAACAGTTCGGTAACTTACTCATCGGTAGAAACTTCGCTAATCAGGACCAAGCAAAACGGCCTTCATCGACTTCATCGAATCCGGAGTACGCAATTTTTATGCTGACGAAATTAATCGATTTGTGTTACATTGGTAAAAGTGCACTGATTTAAATAGCGTTTATTTCGATTAAATTGAATGAGTATTCACTGAGATATTTCTGTTTGAAATAGACTCATTAAAACAGACAAAACTTTTGAAACAACTTAATAATTTTCAGTTGTGAAAGATATTCCGTACGAAAGATTGTCAAAAAATGTATTTTACGTTAACCAAGTGTCGCCCCTCAGAAGTCGAAACTTGTGCAAACTAAGGATTAACGAGGTCTTACATATCAACGTGCGATTCCTAGCATAGATAAGGCAGAATTGTGAAATTAATTTAGGTTGGTATACCTGTATGGATGGTACGCCTGGATGGTTTACCTGTATGGCATACCTATATAGCATAAATAGGGTTAGCTCGCATTAGTTTCTAGTTTTAATCTTCCTCTTTGAAGATGATCACTTAGTGATCGAAACACGTGTCGAGGTGTTGAAAATAACGATTTGGTGTTGGGAAAAAACTCCATTGATATTCATTACTACACCAAAGGTTCCAAACAGTGCATCATAAGTGTGTAAATTGTTGTGGCAAGGCAAAAGCCCTTCCGACCGGCAATGGGAAATGTTCCTCAAATTGGGTTATTACAGCAAATACAAGTTTGAACAAAATAAAGTTGAGTTTAATTCATGAGTTTTTCAAATTCACTTCGAAAAGTATTCAAATTGATGTTTCAAATGTTGGGTTTTAATTTTTGAAGGGATTTGTTTCTAATTCACATATCGGCAACAGCGCCTATATCAAATTGAAATAATTTATACGTGCCTAGATATTCTACTTTAAAAAAGGAAAATTATCCTTATAAATCAACAATTAAGGCAAAATATAAATTATAGTTCAATACCACCTCCACAAGCCACATAAACAACAGTTGTTTTGTTATTTATNATCTAATGCTTGAATCGTGATACAAAACCTAACGATCATTACCCATTGATGCCAAATGTATGGGCTTTGTATAATGCGTGATATCTAATGGGACTCGTATGAACCGTATTAAATCCGCACAATATATATAATTTTATACATATCTGCTAGCGCGCCCCCTACCTGAAATAGCGAGAACTAAAGGTGTATATCTTGAGACGTTTTCCATCGTTTACAAAGCCCGGGCTATATTTCGTTTATGAGGTGCCCTACTCATTTCTAACCTGATAAAAACGATATACACGTGAATTTTTACGAAGCCCGAGACCGGGCTTCACAAAAGTGTATAAGGCTTGGTATAGTGGTCCTGTGTAGCGTTTTGGGCTTCGTAATGGGGGTTAATACGTATATATATATATATGAATAATACAATTGCAAGGAGTGAATAAGTGATTAAGGATAAGTGCAAAGTACTTGTTTTCGTGAAATTAACAGATAAATCGACAATAAAAAAGGAAAAATATATGTATAAAAATATGATCAAATGGTAAAATTTCAAAACTATACAACTCTAAAACTAATATATAAAGTCAGCTAAAATTCTATAAAGAATACACAATTCAAATAATATAAAAACGTTCAAATGAAATATAACAGTGATTCTAAAAAAATATTCAGAGTCCCCGGTGTAAGAGGGCGTAGATTCTACTACGCCCTAATTAAAGTTATATGGTAGTCAACTGAAACATAGTACCCAATTCAAAATTGGTTTTACGATTATGTAGTAAAGGGCGCCTCGTCCGAATGGTCTGACCCTGCATGGACCCAAATAATATTCAAAGCATGTGCAATGCAGTGAGAACCGAGAATTCAGTCCAAATGTTAAAGATACCATGGTAACATTCTCAGAGGAAATCAACTATTTGGGACTGAGTTGCAAAAGCCTAATCAGCAAGAATACTCATCATCGTCACGGTTCTATTACCACAGAGGGCGAAATTCGGCTAGTATTAAGATGTAGATCATCTAATTTTATTTTATTCGTTTATTTACTTGAATTTATTTCTTTAGGTTTTATTATTTCGACCTGCTGAAATTCGCTGAGGGCGAAATTCGGCTAGTATTAAGATGTAGATCGTCTAATTTTATTTTATTCGTTTATTTACTTGAATTTATTTCTTTAGGTTTTATTATTTTGATCTGCTTCTTGACAAGTAACCAACAAAAATGTATTTTTCATCCAACCGCTATCCAAAATTCTGAATAATAGCGGTTAGGAATAATTACTTTTGGAACATATCCTCAGTGACATTTGGCAGTTTTGACACTTGGCACTGCTGTTTGCTGTAATATTTTCTTATTTTCAATGTCCAATGTCTATTGTGTTTTGTGTTGCACACAATTTTATTGTAATAAGTTAACAATTGTGAAGAAAGTAGCAATATTTTTTATGATTTTTACTTTTTGTTCACAAAGTTAGAAATACCTTTGAATTGAGTTGAGTGGTAGTCCAATAAAAAATGTCAAATCTTGGATATATAAAATCAAACAATCCCTTTGATGATGATGATGTAGACGATGAAACTTTTTTGAGAAATTCGAGACGAGTGCCAACATATAACAATACTCTGCCCACTTTCGAAGACCAAATGCAATCTTTTGCCGAAAAGAAAAAAGCTATTGAAGAGCGCACAATAAACAGTACAGAAAAAAGTATCAGTGTCCTTCGAGATTCAGAGCAAATAGGAATAGCCACTGCCGAGGAATTGATGAGACAAAGAGAGAAATTGGAAAAAACTGATAAGCAGTTAGATGAGATAAATGCTACTCTGAGATTTTCTCAGAAACACATTAATGGCATTAAATCTGTCTTTAGTAGTTTAAAAAACTATATGGCTGGTAAAACTGACTCTGCAAGCCCTACAACTTCCTCTTCAACCCCTAGTACTGTTAAGGTAATTTTTTTCAAGTGCAATATATTTCAGTTATGTTCAATATTAATTTATTTCAATAGCAGTCAACATCATCCCAAAATTTAGAAGAAAAGTTATCCACTTATGATCGTTATGATAATCATCCATCTACGAGGCTGCGTAACAATGATTACAGTACTCATGATCAACTAGGTTCTTCTAGTAGCAGAGATTTCAGTGCCCGGTTGGATGCCAATTTGCAGGAGATGTGTACTAATATTTCACGACTCAAGGGTCTAGCCTCTGAGTTAGGTACTGAAATTGAATCACAAAATGACTTGATAGGCAATATTATGGATAAAACAGAAAAGGCAGATCTAACCATTAATAAACAAAACAAAGATATGGCTAGAATATTGAAAAAATAATAATTTTTACAAATTTTCCATCTTTCTATTCATGCATGCATTTAGTGTGTGGAATATTTTTGAAATTCAGATTTCAAGAATCATTGAGTATTAATTGAAGCTCTTCAAAATAATTTGAGAATTTTGTTTTATACTGATGAAAATTATTAGTACATTGAATGATTTAGTTATTTATTCACAAGTAAAACTCAATTTACATAGAGTGTAAGTAAAAAAAATTATATGTAGTTTAATGTATAAAAATATACTTTTATTCAATACATTATGCTTTCAAAATTATATTTTCATCACATGTTTTTATATTTATTTGTTATCCAGCATAATTTGGTTCTACAATTTATTTGGAAAATATAGTCTATTGTGTTTTTAATAAAAATATATTGAAAATGTCATCAATTGCATTTTATTTCACATGTGTAAGTACATATTGCAATAAATATGCCTGTTGAAGTTACAGTAGTATTCAATTAAACTTGGATTTCTTTTACTTTCAACTTTAAAGCATTTTTTAGGGAATTAACGTTACTATTATATTAACATGAAGTTTATTGAAAAAGTGGAAATAAGCAAATGAAATAAAGGATTGGTGAAAAAAAATCCTTGTTCACTGTTATTGTAATATGAGGGGAACCTAAGTTAATCTCTGATATATTTTCTTTAGATTGCTACACAATATAGTACATGAAAGAGGTACTTGAAATTTTACCTCTTTCGTATATTATATTATGTAGCAATCCTGTGAATGATATTCAATTCCATAACTATTTTTTCTATTGGTTGGGAAAGGGATAAAAAATGTTCGTAGATAAACAATTTAGTTTTATGCCAACGTTTCGGAATTTATTAAATCCATCATCAGGGATCAAACATTAGTTATNGTAAAATTAATTTAGGGTGGTACACTTGTATGGGTGGTATTACTGATTACCTACCTGTATGATGTACCTGATTAGTATAAGTAGCTTTAGTTTTGAGTAGTTATTAGTTTTATCTTTCTCTTGAAAATGATCACTTTGTGATCGAAACACGTGTCGAGGTGTAAAAATAACGATTTGATGTTGGGAAAAAACTCCAGTAATATTCATTACTACACCAAAGGTTCCAAACAGTACATCATAAAATCAGAATAAACAATGAATAAATATTACAATATTGTATTCGTTTCTAAATGTCCGTACAGGACGAAACTACAGTAACGTTAGATACAAGTAAAAGTGGTAAAAAAAATATATGAAGTTTTATTTTTTAACTTTCGTGATGATCTTCTACCACGTAGTTACGACTACATCTATCAATTTATTGGCGAATGAATTATTACTAGTTGCAGTTCTACTATTGTTGAAGATGATTATAGTATCAACTCAAAATGCATAAAAAACTTACAAAGAAAAATATATTTGTGATGAAATTCACGTATATTTATTCCATCCTGCATCTATATTTATTGTAGAAATTATAATTGTACTTATCTGTCATATTATGTCATGTTGTATTTTGTTGATTAAAGCCAATTTCTAGTTTGATCTATTTATGACAATATGTAACCAAAATAACTCAAATATTATATTTTACCACATTCTCGTCAATTGTCTAACATAAATTCAAATCAATGGAAAATCATTCATACGTGAGACTAATAAGTTGAAGTTTATCTCCGCGTGTTAGATTTTTTGAATAAAAAATGTCGTATCTGACTTCATCAGTCAACTCGCATGCTGTTTTTATCCTTCTGAAATTCCGTCAATACCGAAAGAAAAACGCTTTACTTGTGATCAGCTTATTCTGTTCATTCTGAAATTTATTGTCATATGTGTTGAAAGTTTTCATTTCTTGCCACGGGCATTTTGATACTCATTTCAATTTCTTCATTACTACTCGTTGAAGACTCGTGTACTCTGAGTTGAAGACCATAAAAATAATTCAAATTTTGTTTTTTTTTCATGCGTCACCATCCTTTCAAACACCGAAGCCGCATGACCTCGAAGATTGTGCTAAAATTATGTGATGTCTTGTGATATGAACATAAAATATAAATTATTCACTTTTGGCACTGGATTTATCATTGGAAAACGTTGATATTGTGTCATTGAAACAATTCATGTTTACATGTTAAAACATTGACAGATGACAGGAGTGTATATCCAAGCCGCCAATGTTTCTCAAATTGACGAATAAAGTAAATATTTCTGAATCTTCGGTCATCTATAAATTTGTCTACAATTTCACATAAATTGTGTGAGAATTCCATCTCCAATTAACCAAAATGTCTATTGGTGTTCCTATTAAAGTTCTTCATGAAGCCGAAGGTCATATTGTAACCTGTGAAACTATTACCGGTGAAGTCTACAGAGGAAAACTAATAGAAGCTGAAGATAATATGAATTGTCAAATGACACAAATCACTGTTACATACCGAGATGGCAGGGTAGCCCAGTTAGAAAATGTTTATATCAGAGGATCAAAAATCAGATTTCTTATTCTACCGGATATGTTGAAGAATGCTCCAATGTTTAAAAAGCAGACGAAAGCGGGAACTGCAGGGAGAGGAAAATCTGCAATACTTAGAGCACAAGGTATTTTGATATTCCTTTTCTTTTCTTAATATTTTGTTTTCTGAGTTTTATATGAATTGGGAATATGATTTGGGAGCGGTTACCACTGATGTATTTAAGGGAACTTCACTTAAATGTTTTTTAGAATTTTTTTTTGACTTTCTACTCTTCCATCTTTATACAAAAAAAAGTGAAACATTTCAGAAGGAAGGAAGCAAATAATTTCGAAATGAACTCAACAAGGATGTGTAGATCATGCACAGAAGTTTCTTTCAGATACAAACTGGAAAAAAGCACTCTCGAAATAATAACATTCACATGAATTGAATTACAGAAGTGCAATTCTCTTCACGAAGGTGTCTCACCAACCAAGTTGGCATCTTGAGGAGTACAGTTTTCTTCAGTATTGCATTTCTGGTGATTGGGAATAGTGTAGAGGTTACATTTTACAGATATCATTCACAGAAAAAAACTTTTAATCTAAACAACAAAATAGATTTTGATATTCAGACGGATTTTTGAGAAGACATATTATGGAAAATATAATTTTTTGCTATTAGGCACATCTCCCTTACTTTTTGAAAGATGGCCCAGTAATATATGGAATAGTTGTTTCAAACAATTTCTATTAGTTCTGTTGTGGAACAAATAATATTGTTTTCAATTCTTCATGTTGTTTAGACTTGTACCTGTATTCGATATGCCTCAGAAGATTATTTATTATTATTGCAAAGTGGTGAAATTACTCAATACAGTTTTTCTCATATATTTACAGAGAGCACGAACCCTTTTAAATCATTCTCTCTGTTGATAGAATACAGAATGGAGTGGTTTATATTTTCAATGCTTTTATAAATATAATCTTGTGTTACTTTGGTGATTACAATAAAATATTTGTTCTTATAGCTCGGGGAAGAGGACGGGGGCAGCAGCCTCAGATGCGTGGTGGTCGGGGAGGTACTTGGCAGAACCAGCAAGGTGGTGCACCTACCGGTCGTGGAAGATAAGGAACACTCATTTATGTCTGTGTAAATAGTTTGATAATATATTTGTAAGGAGGAACTTGCATGTTTTTGTCATTTACTATAAAAAATATTCCAAGTGTGAAAACACAAATTGACAAAAGATTGTAAAACAAAACATTGATGTATTTTCGAAATGTGCATAACAATTGATTATTTAAATAAAGTTTCATTTGATAATTCTGTTGATTTTCTCATAACTTGAAACCTGAATGTATTGCTACCACCCCTAAAGTCAAATTCTCATATGTCACTTGGCGGAAACCAGCTTCTTCTATCATTAATTTGAAATCGTCCTGAAATAAAATTGAGTTATTAAAAGAAAACTCGAAATTTCACTTATTTTTTAAGAATAGAAATCTTGATGATAAATACATATACAACATCGATTTGTGATCTAATGGCATACAATTCTGATCACTATTAATGAATAGTGTGTAAACATTGATATACCTTTGTTTAGATCTCACTTTTTTATATCATATTTACATATCAAAATATACACATTTACAATTTAGAAAATCTGCGTATAATATTGTAAATATAAAATTAAATATGTATATAGTGTGAAAATGGTATAGTTATATCTGTTCTGTTCTGTTTTTCCGTTGACCAGCTGTCGCACCCCTACGAACGACAACCCTCAGAAGTCGAAACTTGTGTGAGCTAAAAGTCGAACAGCATCATTGAGTAAGCCATAGTTTCAAGTTGACCTGCACGTAGTGCGGCTCCAAACAGTAATTTATGAATCGATATGAATCTTTACTCACCACTTGCCTTCATCAAAAATTTCTATGAAGTGCTGCTCAAATTGTTAATTTTATGCTTCCTCGGCTAAATTGTTGTAGTTGATTACCATTTGAGGATGTATAATATTTAAAAAATACTCAAAGGCAATGCATTCCACGCTTGTGTATTGAAATAAATATTCAGGTGGAAAGAACTTATAACATACTTAATTTAATGGATGATAGCACTACTTCTAACACCACAAACACTTGTCACTTTAAGCTCACTTTTTTCAAACAAATACAACTTCATTGTCAGAGAACATTTTACTGACTGAAATGCTTCCCTTCTCTAATAGATCACAGCTTTACTAGCATATGAATGCATCTTGCATTTTATAGAAAAACACAGCTTGACTCTTCGCTCTTTGTTTACCAAAGCGAATACTGAACAAGAGTCTGCAACTAGCGCCAGCTTTCGTGTGGCTCTTGAAATCAGAAAACGTGGCAAACCATTCATCGATGGAGAAATGATAAAAGAATGCTTGATTGCAGTAGCCGAAGAAATATGCCCGGAAAAGGTAAATTTATTTAAAAGTGTCAGTTTGTCAGCAAACACCGTGGCTCGGAGGGTTCAAGACATCGCAGAAAATATATCATCTCAACTGTCTGACAAAAATGGACATCATGAGTGGTTTTCTCTGGCATTGGATGAGTCAACAGATGTGTCAGATACTGCTCAGGTGTTGATTTTTATTCGAGGAGTAGATAAAAGCTATGAAGTGTATGAAGAACTTCTTGATATTGATAGTATTCACGGCACGAAAACTGGGGCAGATATTTTTAAGGGAATTGAAAATGCCATTAATAAAAAGAATCTTCGATGGAGAAATTTGAAATCTATAACAACTGATGGAGGCAAAAATATGTATGGTAAAAATAAAGGAGTGGTTGCACTTGTGTCAAAGGCTGTAGAAAATGATGGTGGTTCAAAACCATTAGTCTTACATTGTATCATTCATCAACAGTCCTTGTAAGGAAAATGTTTGGATATGTCTGAAGTTCTAAAACCAGTCATATCAGTTGTTAACTTCATCAGATCCACTGGGCTGAATCACCGACAATTCCACGAGTTTATTCAACAGATTGGAGAAAATGATTTACCATATCATACTGCCGTACGCTGGCTTAGTTGCGGAAAAGTCCTTAAGCGCTTTTTTGAACTTCGAGCAGAGATCGAATTTTTTTTAAATGAGAAGCAGCGCCCTTTTGCCGATTTAGAAAATAGTGAATGGATGTGGAAGTGTCGATTTGACAAATCATATGAACGAACTGAATTTGAGATTGCAAGGAGAAAATCAGCTTCTCCCTGATTTATACACCACTATCAAATCCTTCAGGCAGAAAATAATACTATTTCAATCGCAATTACTTAAAATATGTTTCACACATTTTGAAACATGTGAAATATTCAGCCACACTACTGAGACTGAATTTCCCGTCAATTTTGCAATCGAAACTTTGAGTGCTTTGAAGATAAATTTTGATACTCGTTTTTCAGATTTTGATGTCATTGCGAATGAAATTAAGCTTTTTCAAAATCCTTTTGATTCTGACATTGAAATTCTGGCTCTGGAAGTCCAAATGGAAATTATTGATTTACGGTGCAGTGATATGCTTAAGAACAAATATCAAAATTCATCTTTGTTGGAATTTTATAAGAGTCTTCCACTGGAACAATTTGATGGTTTGCATAAATTTGCTCGTGGGTTGTTTTCTGTTTTTGATACTACTTACTTGTGTGAGAAAACGTTTTCCAAGATGAAGTACACAAAGAATGTTTACAGATCTCAATTAACCGATGAGCATCTTAAATTTCTTTTGATAATTGCTACACGTAAAATTGATCCACAACTACAAAGTATTGTCGGTGGAAAATCACAATTACATAAATCTCATTAGTTTTTTTGTTTTACTGTGATTAATTTCAATTATTTGTTAGTTATTAACTTAGATACTTAAGTTAAGTTTTCTTTGTCGTCATTTCTGTCGTTAAGTTTTACCTTGCAAGTAAATAAAACCGAGTAATTATCATTCTGTGTTTTCTTCTTCAACTTATCACAGCAATAGTAACAACAATTAGGTAAATATTGGCTGTCGCGGGCCAGATTGATGACAGTAAATCATTGGCTGTCGCGGGCCGGATTGATGACACTGGCGGGCCGGATTGAACTGGCAGGCCGGATTGATGACACTGGCGGGCCGGATTGATGACACTGGCGGGCCGGATTTGGCCCGCGGGCCGTAGTTTGGAGACCCCTGGTCTAGAGTGAAGGACAACAAATCCATGCAACTTTAACGCCTTATGCATTATATTTATTCCACATGATAGATTTGAATTGACTCCACCCATCTTATAGATATAAAAATTTATTTTTCGACCACTATGCGACCTATATATTCATTTTGTAATCTGTGAAAATCTTTGCGAATTATTAGCAATGAGCCAATTCAATGTTTTCCACAAGACTATTGATAAATAGTTGGAACAACAGATGTCTGAGGTTGGAACCTTGTGGAAAACCCAATTTGGCTATAAACTGCATAGATTTGTATCCCTTAAAAGTGTATCAAGTTGTTTGAAATGGAAATTCATTCATTGAATTATTGCCCAGTAAAATTCAGGGTTTATTTTATGAGCAAACAGTAGCATGCCACCACATCACCACTCAGCTTGATCTGTAGGCATGAAGGAGCAGAGACGTATGGATACGGCAACATTGTTTGTGAAGGGCAGTTTCTACACACATGTAGGTGTAGAAATATACTATATTTTATAGCTATATTTTATTGTGACCATATTGAGGATACATTTAAATAATTAAATAGTACCTCCTTGAATAATCAGAGCTTCAACTGAGTGACATTCTTTGAATGTGCTAGGATCGAACATTGAAAGGTAAGATCTTGTTAATTCCTAAGTCGCACAAATTTTGATTTTGGTGGTTTGTAGGGAGGCGACAACTGGATAACTGATAAATCTATTTGAACAGATTTTCAACAGATATTTTAGGTTGTCCCTAGAGACCGATATCAAAATAAAATACTTTATAATTAGCTTTACTATTAACCCAAGATATATGATTGATAGGTACATGAGATACATAAAGTTCAAGGAAGGCAAAGACAGCTATACTTTATTTGTCGATACTGATTTGATAATACTTTATGAAAATATCAAGAGATGGAAATATTTCAGTCATTGACGTTGCCAAGTCTACGACAAGAAATTAAAATTTAAAAAACAGGTCAGCTTTTTAAATTCTGGACATGAGTTAACAGTAAATCATCGATAAGGTTTTTTGCTGAAAAAAAAGTGTATCTGTTTGAAATAATTGTGTAATGTTTGAAATAGTTATGGTAGTGAAAGTATTGAGATGATAATTATATGTTGCCTTTGAATTTTTCTCACAAAACAGAAACACAGCTTTCTATGGCATGTCTAACGCACAATATAAGATGACCAATTTTGTGAATTGTATAAAATGTTGTTCAATATTTTCATCATGGATAATTTATTGGACTTACTATCACAAAAATTTTTTCAATCTTTCAGGAGGATTCAATTCCGATCAACTAAACTACTATGAGATTCAAAAAAATCATACCTGATGAGGGAACTGTCTAATACTTTCCACCAAATACTGATAAGGTTTCCACTGGCCAGCAATGACTTGTCCTAGAACTGGTATCATTTGAAAACTATACTGATCATATATCCTAAAAATTAAACTGTTAATACAGGAAGTCATCTTTATTGTTATTATCTACCATTGTGCTGTAGAGTTTTCTAAATGACTGAATTCTAAGCACATGAAACGCCCTCCAGGTTGAAGTACTCTATAGGCTTCTTCTAAGACTTTATCAATATGAGTACAATTTCTAATACCAAACGCAATGGTGTAAGCATTGAACGCCTTGTCATGAAAAGGTAGCATCTCTGCATTACCCTCTTTCCAGGTGATGTTATTGGGACTATGTTTGAGATTAACACTTCGAATTTTGCCAACTTCAAGCATGTTTGCATTTATATCACAAACAGTAACATGGCAGTCTTTCAATTGATTATTTTTGACTGAATTCAGAAATCGGAATGCAATGTCACCTGAAATTCAACATTGTCAATGTTTTTTCATTTGCAAATGAAGATGGGTATGAACCTGTTCCTCCAGCTACATCTAGCAATTTTGTATTATTTGTTGGATGCAGTTTACACATAAAATAGTCCTTCCAGATTCTATGTATCCCTAAAGACATTGCATCATTCATAACATCATAGTCCATTGCAACATTTTCGAAAACCTTGTGTACTGAAAACCAATTAATTTTTATTCAGGTAGGTTTTAACTTATGATCTCACATTCAACATTAAAATAATATAGCACGATCATAAAATTAAAGAAGTAAGTATATACAAAAATACTTAAAATAACTGATATTGATATTTAAAATCCATTTCAATGTGGACGGGGAAGTCAGACCAGTTCCCCACGTATGCCCGCAGGGGACTCTCACCATGGATGTGATGGATCGTCTGCCTAGGGGTATCGTAATCGTATTCCACTGAAACTGCTTTTCCCCACTTGTGAAGCGGCACATTTGCCATGTCCAGTCCGTATTCAATTCATTGCGGTCCATTGTTTATAGATTAATTTGCTTTCTGAAATATTACAGGTGCAGCCTGCAAACCGGGTCCGTAGTTAGTCATTTGTCTTTTGGTTCCAATCAAGACTTCAGTGTTGTATAGTCGTGATTTTGGTTTTGAAGTTGCTTAGCTGTATTTGTGGGTGGCTTTCTTGATTTTGGTCAAATACACTACAATTGTGGAAAATTATCTAATTATGGTTTGCCATAATATTCCTTAATTCATGCAGTTGACCTTCATTGCTATGGAGATCAGGGGTGATGCATTACACAGCACTGTTAGCCAGTATGTGGGGTGTTGACTCAATAGTTTCAGAAATCAAACTCATTACATCAAGTCTCATTCCAAGTTCCTGTTCGTTCAACTAGGAACAAAAATATTTTTGCTGTCCATAATCATCATACTAACTATGGATACTTCTCACACATGTCATGGTTTATGCGAGAAGCCAACCGTCTTAATTGTGACATTATAGAAATTTCACTGAATACTTTGAGAAAACAGTTTAAAATTTGTTTAAAAAAAATCTGTTTTTCCGTTAACCAGCTGTCGCATTCCTACGAACGAAAACCCTCAGAAGTCAAAACTTATGCGAGCGAAGGATTAACGAGGTCTTACCTTTTAAACGTGTGATTCCTAACACGGGTTGGACGATAGCAAGTGAAAATCAATCGTTCAGACTAGGGCTTGAACCACCGACCAACACGGCAGTCAATTCGAGTGAGTGAACAAAGCACCCACGTCGAACCGCCTGGCTACCGACTGAGTGTAGTGATAGAATTCAAAAGATAACCAGCTAGGATGATAATTTTAAGTTTATACCATTTAAATTTTATATATTTACATTGATAAAGGTATGTCTACATTGAGGTCAAGTTAGTTTTAAGGAAATACTGTATTTGTATTATTTATTTTTCCTCATGGGGATTACCCGTGTACATAAATAAATAAATCAATGAGTTTGGTGTGGCAATTATTAGTCCGGACTAGAGCTCAGTTCTCAGCCACAGAGAATACTAGGGCAATAGATGAAGTGTGTGCTGTTGTTGCAATGGTACCCGAAGTACTACCACTGAGTTTTTGAATTATATTATTACGTTTCAATTTTGGCAGCAGTATTCTCCAGATGTTTTCGATACAAGAGGGTGTGATCTAGTTTTACGCCTAAGTACTTTAGATACTCGTCATGTCTGAGGTTGGTATTTTCGAGTTTTATGTTTATATTTTCATTCAGCATTTCAGTATTTAGATGTAATGGTGACGTTTCAGTTTTGTTGAGATTCAACATGTCTCCATTTTTTGAAATAATTGTGTAACATCCACGAAGGTCGTTATTCAGGACTTTTTCTGTTATGGGGATGTGATTTTCTCTGGTTACCAGTGCTATGATGACCGCATAGCAAATTTTTTTACTCTGTATTTGGGAAATCCGATGTATAGAGGTTGAACAGAAGAGGGGCTGAAAACCAATAATTCAGAAGAATACACAGTTTTATGTTTGTAAACAAGAAATTAATTAAATTAAACTTTTTTGTAAATGTTAATATTAATGATTTCTGATTATAAATCGCGACATGCCCAAACTTGTAAAATCTACCTTTGTGTACTTTTTCACTTTCTTTGACTGTTTCGAATCCAAAGTGGGTATTTTTCTCCACATTTTGTTGAGAAAAAAATTTAAATTCTTTTCCAAAACAAATTTGACCAGAATTGTTGAGGAATTTTTTAAAATTTTTGGTCAGTTTCATTTTGATTTTTGACAGCTTCTACTTGCTCTTCAAATTTTCGGGTCCTTTTTCCTTTTCCTTTTGGCTTTGGCTCTACCACAGTACTGTATAGAAACCACAGAATGTTGAATGTATTCTGTGACTGTCAGTCCATTTACAGTTGAGACGACAAAAGAATTCATATACGATGCGTCATCAATAAAATAAGCGATAAAATACATATAGGTTGTTCACGTTAAGAAGAGAATGACGTCATTTTTGGTAATTTTGTTTATCAAACATAACAACGTTAAAATTCCCACTGAAATGCGTTCAACGGCAATGAAACTAGGTAACATTTCATTTTGTAAGTTGCTCAAATTTCAGACGTTGCCGAATCGAAAAAAACTCGAAAACTGTCTTACTTTTCTTTTCAGAACTAATAATTTCTGTTGATAAGACCTGCGTATATTCAATATGCCTGAAGTATTGTCGAAATAATCTCAACAAATACTAAAAGTGAGTAAGGATAATAGCAATTTCATATATACATATACATCAGTATAAAAAAATTTGAAAGTTCGAAATAGTGCACATGTTGGCAACGCCGTAACTTGTCATCTTGTGACGTCATTCTCTTCATAACGTGAACAACCTATATTAACTTTCATATAGTCTATTTTTTTTTAAGTGAAAAAAGGATTAACGTTTGCGTTTAATAAAGGAGAGATCTTGAAACCTGTTCTGATTATTTGTTCACAACGATCTGAAACAGTACAAAATGACACCGTATACAAGCATATTATATACGGTGAAAATGAGAACCACAAACTTTTACTTGGATGATAGCCACTCAGTACATCAAAGAGAGATAGCTAAACGAACGTGAGTCGTCTGCCTTTTTTTATTTTCAGACCGTTTGACATTTTAAATTGTTTTTTTTTAAACTTTTTCTTTAATAATTCAAATTACATGTGAAATTATAAAACAACAATAAAAATTAATTGGCGCATAGAATATCCCTGGTGTGATCACTTTGAACCATTCCACATGTAAAATATTTTGTCAAAATCTCTCGACCTACGATGTCATTCATGATAAAGAAATAATAATGAGATAAATTGTATAACTATCGTAATTATTAATGTCAACCTAAAATTGGAAGTGGCTCTGTCTAATGTCTCCATACTGAAAATTTAAATTGAGAGATACCGGAGTCGAAAAATGGAATGTAAACAGTGACGTAATAATGAATAGAGAGTGGCTATTGAAGAGAGAATTTTGTATTTCACAACTGAAAAAAAAAAAGAGATTCACGCCCTGTCATTTACGTTACTCATACACTAAATGCCAGATTCAACGTCACGATGTTACGTGTTGCATATTTCCATATGAAAATTTTTAGGTTTGATTTGTCACATGATACTTTAACGCAGTGGCCGAGGTGTAATATATGTTGAAATGACGTCACGCAAAGTCCATATAAGATGTATTACGTCTATGAATATAAAATATGTGTTTACAGAAGATAAAAAAAGTGTTGACGAACAGTATGAAATCAACCCAAAATTATAAAAAGAGTATATTTTACCCTTAGTGAATTTTCAAAAATAAAAGCAATTCACAAATGAATGACGCATGTGTATTCTTTAAAAGTTTCAACTGTATCCAAATTCAAAGGTGACTATTGTCGCAAAGTGGCGGTGCATTCCTCAAGGAAAACAAAGTGACAATACATACAATACATTTTGTATTGACCATTCTACGAAATATTACATTTGTTAGTTTAATAAAAATTCATTCAAAATTTCTGTAGTGAAAGTATCGTTGGTATATATGGATCTTTGGCATCAATCTGGCCAAAACTTTATTTAGTTGGTAATGCTGGTAAAATATTCTGCAGTAATGAAGTTTCCTAATGGGGGAAAATCTTGAAGATACTTCTTGAATATTATTAATTCAGACTTCCATTGTCTAATATGATTGGAAATCTATGAAAGAACAAATAAAATTAGAATGAATAGCTGAAATATCAATTATATTAAACAATAAAATATGAAAGTAATAGGTACATAAATAATGAAAATTTGTACACAATTATTAAGTTAATGGACATTGTTATAAACAGAAATTCAAGTAAAATTTCCCTACTTAAATAACATCTAGTTTTATACCAATGAATTTTTTTCTTATGTCAAACACGATACCTTAATCTATATTAATAAATTTATGTATCAATTTTATCATTGGCCATTTTCCAAAAAACAATTCAATCCAAATTGTTAACTGTACATGATTAAATAATGAGGTCTAATTCTAATAAAGCTGTTGAAATCTCATCAACTTAGGTACATTTTTGCAGTTTTAGAAGAATGTTTTTTCCTTTAAGAATGCAAAAACCCTGTTATTTTGCAAATGGTGAAATTGACACACGCGCTTACAGCCACACTCCATTTATATTTATAAGAAATAAACATAAATAGAATTTTTCACAAGTCTATGTGAATGGTTCCATAATTGAATGATAAAACTTTGAAAAGTACAATTTGGCAAATAAATCCAAAAAACCGAATTCCTTTATTGGATGGCAGATTCTTCGTACTTTTGAAAGTTCTTACTCTTCTTGCTGCCTTAACGTTTTCCTGGATATTCACACTTGAAAAAAATATTTTAAAAGTAGTGAGAGATACATAAATGGAAACAGCATCCTTCATCTTGTTCAAAGGTTTTCAAACTGTGATTGATTAAATTTCCATACTTTGTACTCAGTGAAATTCCAGAAAAACTTTACTAGCTAAATGTCCTGCATCTAACTTTTTAAAATTCCAGTACATACATAATCTGCAACATTAATTAAATTTTATAATATATAATTTATATCACTAAAAAGCTATTTTTTTTTGTTGAGTTTACATTTCTGGAAAAAGATCGGGCATGCATTTGAACATTTTGTTTCATGATCAAACTAACAAAAAAACCTAACCCAAAAGATATAAGTTACGATTTGTTGTACTAGATCAAGAATTTGAATGTGAAAGTTGTAAGTATCATAACCCAACATTTGGACCAGGCATTTCTGTTTCAACAAACGAGGTTCTGCTTGCGTAGTCTAACAAATATTCAGCATAATTCAAAATTTCACATTTTAAAGCCTTCCAAGAGCTTCTCTAACAAAGAACACAAACATTCAAACTTTCCAAATGCCCCATAAAGAAAATCTTAGTTGACTAGTTCTACAAAAATAAAAAATCTAGAACAGATAAAAATAATCTGTCATTGCTCACAAAAACAATTTTTTGTAACCTTATAAAATTTCGATAAACATTTTTTGTTCTAAATAAAGAAAATAATTTGAAAATGTTCTAATCACAATGTTTCCATAGAATGTACATTACAATTCTGAGCTATACCCGTGAAAATAGAATCACTATCTCCAAGTTAACACTCTTCTTTTGCGGGCACCACCTTAAGAGTGAGGTTATCCTATTCAAGAAAATCAGCCTGTTTTTACAAATATAACGAAATCTTATGACAATCATTTGAAGATTTCGCATTCTGAATCCTTTCATCTCTTTGTGAGACAGCTCACACATTAAGTGTACTACAAAAAATACTTTTCATTACATTTAATGTGACCTAATTAACTAGCAGAATGCATTTAGCCAAATTAAATTTTCTTCAGTCACAGCAATATTTCTTCAGACATATATAACAGAAAAAAGGGGACAAGATCACATTCATTAATTTCTAAATATTTCTTAGCGGATTGTTACAAATTATTTCGAACTGGGAATTTACAGAATTATATGAATGTGATCTTGGTTGTGGAAAAATATTGTCAAAATTTGCTTAGCACTTATTTGGCAGTGAATATATTTTGACAATAATACTATGCTAAAAATCTCACAAGTGGTATAACAGTATGAAGGGTAACTTTAGAAAATCTTTTGAAGAAGCAAAACATTGGTAGATGCGGTTAATTTTTATTTTACATACTGTAACAAAATCAACATTATAAAATATAAAACATGTTTATAAAGATAAAACAATCACAGAGCTAGGAGACAGTGTTCATGCTGTCATGTTATATGATGATCACAAGGTAAAAGTGGTGCCCATCAAACCTTGAAACAAAAAATAAAATCTTCTGAATAAACAATAGCCTAGATATTGCATAAATATACATCATTTGCAAAAATGCAAAAACATATCTTAATATTACGGCAGTTGGCTATATTTTTATAAATATAACAAACCTATAATTATTACAGGTTCCTCATAATTACTAAAAATGGAAAAATTAGGTCTTTGATATGCTTTCTTCTTGACTACAGTTTACCCAAAAGTCAAAAACCAGCTTCTTACTATTGTAACAACTTAAAACAACTGAATAAATAATTTAGTATCATTTTGTAACATATAATAGAGAATCTAACATTTATAGTGTTTTCAACACTGCACAAAAAAACCAACTCCTTGAACTGATCAGTATTTAGACAGGTGTCAATTTTCCATCTTGACATTCAAAAATCACACATTTATAAATTGAAAGGGAAAAGTGGGTGGGATGAAAAATCGACTCCTGCACCTATCCAATTTTATAATTTGTTATATTAATAAATCTAATAGTCTAAAATGGCCAGCTAGCCTACTTTAAACTTGTCCCAGAGTCTTGTTGGGTGTTATTGCCAACCTGAAAATAATCAGCTACATTAATTGTATTAATAACACTGAATAAAATAATAGAATAATATTATCACTAATAATAACTTTATATTTCTGTGAAAAAGTAGTATTGGAATTAGAAATAATTTGTTTTGCATTATAAAATTGTGCCATATATAAATTTCTCGGTAAAGATAATTTTGTACATTTATCAGGACTGAGATAACTTCAGCTAGAGTCTCAATAACTAAACTATAAATTTAAACAAACCGTTAGCCCGATATATCAGGTTGTTTCAAAAGTTTTGTCCGTTTTTATGAGTCTACTCTGTGAATATTAATTCAAGTCAATCAAAATAAGCACCATTCAAATCAGTGCACGTTCAGAACGTCACACAAGTTGATTGATTCCGTCCTGATTGACGAAGGTCCTATCGATGAAAAAGTTATCGAACTGCTTGAAAATATGGTGGACGGTTGGGGAGGGGTTTGGAGAGTATGGCGGATGAAGTAGAGCTTTGACGGTAAATTCGTTTCGGACAGTGCGAAACGTGCAAATAAGCGTTGTCGTGGAGAAGGATCGGAGCTCTTTTGTTGACCAGTGCCGGCTGTTGCTGACGCAATTTTTGGTACATTTCATCAATTTCCCCACTATAGGACTCTCCTGTGATGGTTTGGCCCTGTTGCAGAAGATTTTAGTCTTTGGCAAGTGCCTGGGTGGCTCATCGGTGTCCAACCACTTCCTGAGGATCCACTTTTCCTCACACGTGACGATCCCAATAAAAACAGGATCGTTTTGGTTGCACAAAAGCAAACAAGAACAGACTTCGAATCGTGACAATTTCTGTCAATCGTTCAAATTGTGGGGCACCCACTTTTCGACCTTTCCAATACGTTTTCAACCATCAAAAATCGTATGGGAGCTGCCGCCTAGTTCTTCCGCCATTCTACGCACCGTTCGTGATGTGTCAGTCTCCAACAGGGTCCTTGTCCTGGATTACTGTAGGTTGGCCAATTCGGGGCTTATCTTCGAGGCTAAAATTTCTGGAACGGAATTTTGCAACCCAATGTCGAACAATACGTTCATTAACATTATCATTGCCAAATGCCTGGTTTATTATTCCGGCTGTTTGAGCAGCACTTTGATTCAATTTAAATTCTTAGAGAAAAATTGGCCGAAAATCGTTCAACAACATCATACAGCAGTAAGCTGGAAATACGCAAAAAATAGAAATTTGGAAAAAAAATTAACATTATCAATGTATATAATACAAAATGCTCTATCGATTAGTATACACCATGACACAGAATACAATTTATGGAGATATGAAGCTAAAAAAACACATGACAAATAAGACGGAGAAAACCTTTGAAACAACCTTATGTTACTTTCTTAAATAACATTCTTGTTGATGTATTTAATAACACCAATAACCTTTGGAGAACATTTTTATTTCAAAATTATGAATTTACGTGTTTCTGCCAACCAAACAACTAAATTATATCACTAATCTAATAAAGATACTGCATCTGTGCTGAAAGTTTGTAGCCAACTTCCTGGGATGCACTACTAAAAACATGATTATCTGAAATTCAGCCAACTAAGAAACCTTTGAATCCACTACCATTTAGTGGTGAGTAGAACACGAAGCGCAAACTTCCTCCCTGAACTAAACACTAAACAAAGTTGTTAAGGAGATATATAAGTCTAATTGAATAACATTTAAACCTTTTATAAGTAACATTTTTCGGTAACTCCATTCTTTCACCACAAATTTCTAATGGAGTTTGATATATATATTGGAGTATACCTACTTGAATGGATTATTTGAAAAAGTGAACAGTTAGTTTTCTCTAGGTTTGGATTAAGAAGCTATGTTGTCTGTCTAGCTTATATTCAGGTCTAAATTTTCAATGTGTTAATAAATTTTTACAAATAAAATTTGTCTTTTTGGCCACTTTTGTCTGCAGTTCCAGGCATTCTGAATACCTAATTCCAGCATTGGTTTAAATTCCAAAAATATGCAATGCTTTTAGGAATGGCATTTCTCTAACTGTTTTCTACAATTTTGAAATAGAGAATACAGCAGAACGTTACAACAATTATGTTGACACCAGGAGAAAATCAACGAAATGAGTGTACGAAACGTATTTTTGTTTTATTAATTCTATGGCAACACATGTTTCCTCAAAACTATCCTAATAAAATAGATGTACTCTATTAAAAAAGTACTGGTTTACTGACCATATGGGTATGATCAAGTGAGACAGTTTGCTTTGGTCCAGATTTTTTTTTTCATTTTTTCAACCCAGTTTACTCAGTTACTGAAAATTTGTACTTCATCACAAATTTGTGTGACCTTAAATTGAATTTCTTTGAGTCGACTTTAAACTTCTTTGGATCCAACTCAAACTTCTTTGACTTCGCCTTTTCTATCTCCTATTATGTTAACTTAATTGTTGAAACATGGGTCAAGATGGTTACAGTTGTGGTGTATTCCTTATTTGAAATTGTAGAAAACATTTCATTACTAAAAAACAAAACATTGCATATTTTTGGAATTCAAACCAGTGCTGAAATGAAGTATTCAGAGTGTCTGAAACTGCAGACAAGAGCACCTAAAATCGTGGTCTCGGACCAGTTTTACTTTTAAATTTTCATTAATTACAATATCACCTTGAATATTAGCTGTGGACACAACATAAGCTTTTAACCCAACAAATCTAGATTTGATCCAAACCTGAAGAAAACTAACTGTTCACTTTTTCAAACAATACATCATATTCCATTAGAAATTTATGGCGAAAGAATGGAGTTACCAAAAATGTTAATGCATGAAAGGTTTAAATATTGATTCAATTAGATTTTTAAAATTATACTCCAGTCTTGGTACCCTATAACAAATTACAGGATAAGTCGTGTTTCCTAAAGAAACGTCAACAATCGCTTATCATATTCGCTTACCTGATACGTACAAAAAATATGTGTGGCTTATACAGTGTCATTTGAATAAATAACAAAAATAAAAAGTAATTTGATTAATGTTTGACAACAAAAAAAATATATCTTTTACAATTTCAGCATGACAAAGCATATTTTCCAATCGAGTTTCTGCTAAATACGAGGAGTGTTTGCTGCAAAAGTCTAGTTTTTGACTTGAATTTGGTGTAACTTCTGAATCACCCTGTATAACCCACACAACATTATATTTTTTGTATCAGGAGGAATCTGAACATGAATATTAGTTGTGGACACAACATAAGCTTTTAACCCAACAAATCTAGATTGTTGTAACGTTCTGCTGTATTCTCTATTTCAAAATTGTAGAAAACAGTTAGAGAAATGTCATGCCTAAAAGCATTGCATATTTTTGGAATTTAAACCAATGCTGGAATTAGGTATTCAGAATGCCTGGAACTGCAGACAAAAGTGGCCAAAAAGACCAATTTTATTTGTAAAAATTTATTAACACATTGAAAATTTAGACCTGAATATAAGCTAGACAGACGACATAGCTTCTTAACCTAAGTATTCTAGATTAAATCCAAACCTAGAGAAAATTAACTGTTCACTTTTTCAAATAATCCATTCAAGTAGGTATACTCCAATATATATCAAACTCCATTAGAAATTTGTGGTGAAAGAATGGAGTTACCGAAAAATGTTACTTATAAAAGGTTTAAATGTTATTCAATTAGACTTTAAATTATTCTCCAGTCTTGGTACCCTATAACAAACTACAGGATAAATCATGTGTCTTAATGAAAGGTCAACAATTGCTTACCATGTTCAGATTCCTCCTGATACAAAAAATATAATGTTGTTTGGGTTATACAGGGTGATTCAGAAGTTACACCAAATTCAAGTCAAAAACTAGACTTTTGCAGCAAACACTCCTCGTATTTAGCAGAAACTAGATTGGAAAATATGCTTTGTCATGCTGAAATTGTAAAAGATAAATTTTTTTTGTTGTCAAACATTAATTTAATCAAATTACTTTTTTTTTCAAATGGAACAACTTCAGACTCTTCGAATCACTTTAATTTAGTACGCTGTGTAATAGTTAATAATTACAAAAGGTTGAATGCATCGATATCTAAAGCTTTTAAACAAAACATTATCTTAACATCTGCAAGTTAAAGTTCTACAAGGTCAATGCGACACATACTGTATATTCATTGCTGAGTCAGTTCATTAGAGTCATAAAATATTCATATTCTAATAGAAACGAGCTCTACGTGTAATGAAGAATATAAAGCAAACAGGCAGTTGCATAGGTATCTTCAAATCCAGCATTCTAACACTAAATTTCGCGTTGGGGAGCTAAATTTGACCAAATATTTTTCTCACAAGAAATTATCTACTTCAAGGTGGGTTGATTCTGCTGCGGGACTGTGAATATTTAATTTTCTTTTCCATAAACCAAAGCTGTCAGGGTTGAAGAATAGTATGTAGCTTACAAACTACCAAATGTGATGAAAGAGATTCAAACTATTTCCAAATCTGTAACAGGAATTATTCAGATATTATGTATCATTGAACGATATTCTCCATAAAAATATACCGATTATATCTCTTAGATATAAAACTCCTGCTTCAACTCGTTACCTTTTTTACATATTATTTTATATTACCTACACTGCAAATGTATAATTGTCGTGATTTCAATATGTAACCTGCTATTTTGTTTTACTTAAATTTACTAATCTATATTAATGTATCTGACTTGGTTTTACTTTTCGACTTGGGCAATTTGAAGAAATGAGAAGATAATTTTTTCGTACGGTCAACAACTTTTTATTTATAAATCTACCTCTTAATTCTCTTTTATACATACTATAAAATTAAATGAACAAGATTAACAATAACAAAGGTTTTAAAATTAAACTTCCGCAGGAACACTCCCTCCCAATGATGAAATCTAATTCATCACTATTCTTTATGTTTATCAACATCTAGAAGACAAAGTTTGTTCACAGGTCTTCTGTATGTACCAATATTTGTTTTTACATCAACCACTCGTAAATTGCCATCTGCACCTG